TCCCTGTGGGCCGAGAACAGAGCCCTGAAAGACACCGCGATCCCTCTGAATATGACCTCTCCTTCTCCGCCGCGCTCTCCTAAGCTTCGTCTGCTTACAAGCTTCAGCCCTTCTGAGTCCAGTCTGAGAGTGGTGTTATCAAAGCCTGGGGCTCCGAACAGACCCACAGAGGAGGTGCAGAAAGACAGACACAGCCGACTGTGAAACCTGAAACCTTCTTTATCAGAATTATGCATGAGCTTAGAGAATAAGGCCCTTTTATATTCTACCATCATGGCGGCAGTGAAGGTGACTCCCGGACCTCGTTCTGTAGGTAACACAGCTAGGGAGGAAGGTTTTGAAGGAGAGTGGGTCCAAAAGAAAGAGAGAAAGCAAAGTAATGGTCTTGATCTATTTCCTTTATTCATCTCTCCTCATCTGTCTGCAGCAGTTCTGCTCTAATCACTCCTGCCCATAGAGCCTGTCTGTCCATTTGTGGCCTTGTTATTTCCCAGAAATCTCTCAGTCTGGGCATTTCTGCTTGTTACTCCATTTTTGGCCAAGAAAGAGGGATTAGGGGCAAGGCTCATCAATTTGCTCCTTTACTCGGCCTTGCCTGTTATCCTTTGTTGTCATCTGCTGTAAAAACTGAATTTATATCCTCTTCGACAATCTTACAGTTGAATTTGCTGCACAAATTGCACCCACAGAGAGCTACGTTTACCATTTTGCAAGAATTTATAGAAGACATAGAAGAGTTAGCGACGTAGAGATAGAGGAAACTGCTTCATGTTAATCCTGCAGTAAGAGGCTATGGTCTGGCCTTATGTCTGCTTATGTCGTCATTTATTTCCTTTCCTCTTTTCTGTAATAAGGAAGTGAATCTTACAGAAAGTTTGCGGATTAAAACACAAGCTTTAATACAGGTTGAGATCTGAGACAAACTGCTACACTGTTGCAACTAACATTTTAGTTTTAGACAAAATAGCACAAAGATTTTATATAGGATTGTCATTTATCCTTTGTATTTCATTTGAGTTTGTATTGATTTTACCATATGAACTAAAAACTGTAGTACAAATGAGACAGACGTGATCAAGGACTCATATTTAGGAGAGAGAGAAACAAAGAGATAATCCCCTCCCAAAAAGCAAAGTTAAATATAACGAGAGAAAGACAATTCTCACCTGCTGAGAAGGCAAAGCTAAACATTCACTAACATACATAGGGATAGGATAATACTTTATTGATTCCCAGAGGGGAAATTCAGGACGCTACCATTAGCAAGCTGTAGCCAAAGAAGACCCGACGTGTACGATGTATATACGAATATCAAACAGTTTCTCCAGCGACAACTCGTCAAAGTCACGACGTTGCAGCGTTTACAACCTACCAGTGTAATTAGGAGTGATTTGTGACATGGTTAATACATTTGAGTTTTGCACTTCCACATTGGCTTTATTTTTTAACACCAGAGGTTTCCACTTTGCCAATACCTCATACCCTCTTTAAGATGTCACATAAGCCATTAATGCCTTTCATCTTTGCCTAGTTTGGCATTTGGATGTTATCTGGTCTAACAACCATGCATTGAAATTCATTTTATTTTCTTTTTCTAACATCTCAGCTCTTTGATTTAAATGGAAACCTTTCTTATGTGCAATCACTGTTTGATCATAAAATATGTGTCATATAAGACATTTTATGTAATGACCTTATCTACACCGACAACACATTCAAACCACATCAGGGACAAAACATGTTACATTATTTTAAAGGACAAGAAGACTTTGTTCGTCTGAATCCGAGTGCAGGTGTTGAATTATCCAAACATCGCTGGTAAAAATGTTTTCTCACAAAGATGGATCTCAAATGTTGTCGTCTTATCAGCGTGGCCGGGAGGGTCTTAGTGTGTTTGTCTGACCACACAATCTAGTGTGGTTTTTTTGTGTGTGTAGATGTCCTCGGGCGTGTAGTGAGACAAGAGCAAAATAAGAATGGAGGGAGACTGATGGAGAGTTGGCTCACGTCACCATGGCAACTATTCACGGCGAGGGACACAAGTGAAGTTCTGAGTTATTATCAATTGGAGTCATGTTTCTCTTAGAGGTGTGTGTGTAGTCATGGCTCGTGAGTTTCTGGTGTCAAGGTTAATGTACTTCTTGTTTGGACGAGGACAGCAGAGGTAACACTTAAGCTGTGACCGCCTCTGAACAACACGAGGAAAGATCTCAGGGTCAACATTTCTACACTTACAAATGCAGTTTTTTCCCTCTATATCACAATAATATAATAATAATAACCTTTGTTTATGTAGTAGTGCACATTTTCCAAATCCAAGCCTCCAGAAGGCAGCAGAATTAAAGAGGCAGGTCATACAACAATAAGCAAAAGCAAAGATTAAGAAATTACAAATAAGGGGAGAAGTCTGCCCCAGGATCTGAACACTGCACGTTGGCTCAAACAATACTATCAGGTCTGATTTAAAGCTGAGAGAAAGGTCATATGGAGAGCCTTCAACGTAATCAGTAAAATCTTAAAATCAAAAACCATACTAGTGTGAAGACGGTAAATCAGGAGTCATGTTTTTTTTAGTTCTGGTCGAAAGCCTGAGCTGAGTTCTGTCCACTGTTCAGAACTCGGCTGTAGAGTTATCAAGGCTTCGTTCGCTCTCAAGTGAAAAACATGCAATATTTCATGGTTTTTCTGGCAGAAATCAACTTGTTTTTTTTTTTTTTTTAGAGTTTTTCCAACACTTTGGACCTGTCTGGAATATTTCAACTACTATTTAATGAATTTCTCAAAAGATTTTTCTGAACACATCGCCAACTCAGTAAAATGTATCTCAGTACATTTCTCCAAAAAGAGCTAGACTTCACTCTTTGTTATATTATTTAGTGAGACCCAACACGGATGCAACAAGAACATGCACCTGGGACATTTGGTAACTGGCAGGGGGAAAACATCCTTTATGAAAGGCAGAGACCTCGAACACAACCAGACTTATCTGTGAACAGTCATCTGCTGCGAACTGTTGGTTCATGATTGAAAATGAAGGAGAAAGAGAATCACGATTAACCTTCAGAGGATAAGGCAACATCTGCCAGATTTTAGAAAAACGTAAATGAAAGAGCTTGAATTTTGTGAACTGTTGTACCATTCCTGTACTTTAATACTTGTATTCTCTAATATTCTGGTTATAAAATAAAGCTGCAGTGTCTTGTTTATTGTGTGCAATGCACCTGAAGGTTGTTGAGAAGGATGAATAGTTGCCCTTAATAGTTAAATGTTTCTCTTCTTTGTGGACTTTTTAAAACACTCTCCCATTAGAGGAGTTCCCATGCAAAGCTTGTTTGTGTCCAGCGCAGGGCAGCCCTGGTGTGAACTCAGCATTATGTAACCATGATTGATTACTCATTAAAGGACCACATACGGCTTTAATATGAACACTGAATGCAGTGCAACACCCAAGTGGCTGTTTATCTCAGTCCTTAATGCAAACTGGGAACACTGAGTGAGAATCGAGGATCATTAAGCCTCAAAACAAAACTTGACTGCAGAGTGCTGACAGTTTTGGCCTGTTTTTCTCTCACTCTCTCTCTCTCTCTCTCTCTATGATACAAATATTGTGACACCATTCGATTTGGAGCTTGGACAGATTTGAATGTAGTCAGCTTGCTGTCTTTTGTCTCAAGCCAGAAAAATGTGATTTAACGACTTGAAATGCTCACAGGCGCCTGAGCTGCTGAGAGATGTGGTTTTGCTCCTCATTAGGAGAAGAACCATGAAACAGTGTTCTCTATCCCCCTGCAACCAATGAGAAGACTTCTTCATTCATACTGCCAAATCTACACTATGGAACCTTTGCATTACATGTCTCTGCTGATGGCTTTGTCATGTTTTTAAGCTAGCAGCATGGCTCCAGGCAGTATTCTCTCTGTCTGCACATTTACTACTTATTTCCAGTCTGTTGTATCTCAACGACTATAAGATCGAGTCGCATGTTTCCATGTTTCCGTCTGAGTCATTTGTAATAACTAAATTTGGAGTCCCTGACTTTTCATGCCACCTTTATTGGATCCCGAATGACCAAATACCTGCAAAATAAAGGACAAAAAAACACATTAATATAAAAATAAAAGCTCTCTTTGTTTAGTACTTTTTAGATAATTTTCTTTTCTTAGCCCTTGACCTGTTTTATGTTGAGATCCTGTGTTGAAACTGCGATCTGTTTTATGCTGCTATCTTTACATAATACAGGACGTGCAATTCTTACTCTATTTAAACATATTTATCTAGGAATGCTTTTTTATTTATTGAACATAGTATTTTGGAAAGCTTTTAGAGTTTTTAATCTACTGAGCCCTGCAAGGCTCAGGTAAGAAAACGATAAAAAAATAATTTTCAAATCTATCGCCAAGGTTTACAAATCCTTGTGCACAGATTTTCAGTCTGTGGTGCGGGGTTTACTAAAGTGTGCTCACAGATTTACGAACATGCAATGTTAAATCGATCTTTGTCTATAGCCTCCTTGTCTTCTGTCATGCATCAGTTTGAACTTGAAATATTTCTACCTAGAATAACATGTGACAAATGACAAAACATTTGCTCAACACTTGATATGCAAATCATGAAATACCAAAGTTTTTTCATCGGCCAAGTGTAACTTTCGTCCATCATGTCTCTGCTAATATGATGTAGACTTCACAGGTCGTTGAACTGTTTTTACACATCCATCAGGTCGTTGTTCTACATTTAGATGAATAGGTCTTTATTCCGACACAGCATTAATGTTGTTTTGTTAACAGTCTGTCTGTTTGTTTGTATGTTTGCAAATATCTCCTGTACGCGTCTGTTCCGTTTGAAATCGTCGACTCACTGTACAGCACAAGAACAGTGCTCTATAGTCATCATGGGCTGTATGCCAGTCCTTATTGTGCAGAAAATGTGCAGGTTAGAGCATCTCTTTCTGAATGTACTTTTTCACTCACTGGAGCTTTCTCTGTTCTTCTCTTTCACAGAATGAAAAGCCTCTGGGTCATTCTGCCAGCAGGTCCAGCAATATATCAAAGGTGAGCAATGCACACAAATGGAAAAATCTGAATGAATGATGTATGGTCTTTCACCACCACAAAGAGAGAAAAGAGTGGGAGCATAAAGACAGGAGGGCGGCTGTGAGGTGAGCTGTGGAGGAATGCAGCGATTGACAGGAGAGATGTACGACGTGCAGTCGAGTGAGAACAGCTGATAGATAACCTGCCTCCATCACGTCACATCGTCCCAATCAGAGCTGCCTCTCTGATCATCCTCCGGAGAGCAGACGTGTCTTTACACCTCAGCTCTTCAGCTCACTGTGGCTTTCTGTCAGACAGCCCGTCAACTCTCAGCAACTCCTGTCTTTTTCTATTTTCCCCTCGTCTTTCCTCCCCGCTTTTTTCCCCATCGCTCCCTCAGGCAAAGCTACAACCTGCGACCGAACGTGACTCCAGGGTTTGAGTCCACGTTCTCCTGAGCCTCTTATAGGATAAACTCTTTACTGGTGCTAATAGATGTTAGGGTCACTTCATCGGCACGGGACCACTGGGAATAACGTTTGATCCCTGAACCAGTCGGTCTTTAAACGTGAGCAAGGCCAACGTTCTAGCACCCAAGAAGTACCAATTAGTATTCACAGGGTAAACGTCATAGGTTAACATAAATAAAGCTAAAAGGTATTTTCCCAAAATGTTTAACTACTTATTTAACTGTTAACAAGGTTTAGTTTGGTTTCTACAGTGAGGATAGTGTCAGTCTGGAGCTGCTGTAGAAGGAGAGTTTGGTTTGATGGATCAATCAAGCCTAAAATAGCTTGAAGCTGGAACAGATTGATTTTCATCGGGCCTTGTTTGGCTCAGATATTGATCATCCAGATGAGCTGGGGACATTCCAGTGATTTTTAAAGTCTAGTTTTGAAAAGAAAGGCTATCACTCGTTTGGTGTGGTCTGTAAAGTCTGCAGCCATATCTGTCCTATCTGTCCAATATGCTACAGTTCATTGTAGTAGTTGTATGGTCAATAAATTGTCATAAAATGGTGAAGATGTAAATCTGTGTTCCCCAAAGCCAAAAGATGACATCCTCAAATGTCTTGTTCTGTGCTTAACTGATTTAATTTCAACTTCTTATCCTTAAAAACAAGTACACAAAATGAATTAATGATTTGCAAAATAGCTGGCCATCAATTCAGACCTTCTTTTTTTTTTTAAAGATTTATTAAGAACTGCATGTCTTTTTGTTGTTTTACTTGTTTCTTTGTACAAACACAAACACAAGATGGCCGAGTGCCAGCTATCTCATCCATAAAGGGAAGGGGTGGGTTTAATTTGTTGGCACTTTCTGGACTCGATGCTTTGTCATTGAACGACCTACCTACACTGCCAATAATGTGTGTGAAATGGAGTGACAGGAATAAAGTATGAACACGTCTCTTATGTTTGACAGCTTTAATTAATAATCAGCAGCCTCTCTGCCAGCTGGTGTTTCCTACTCTTTCCTAAAGGGAAATACCACTGACTGACAGGTCTTAAATCTGTATTAACTGTTCTCTGGGTGGTAAAGTCCGCCGAGAGTCTCGATTGTTAAAGAGAGTGAGTGAGGTTGAGACTGGAGAAGATGCCGTTTTGAAATACTGTACTATAGCTTTGGTCAATCCTGGATGATGTTGTAAAAGAACAGTGGACTGTTATTTAAGCAGCCCTAGTCATAAGCTGCAGACAAAGGCTGAAGATAATCACAGCCATGTCGATATTCAGTATAACAGTCTGACCTTGATGATGATGTTTATCTTATAGAGGAATCCAACAGCCGATTTGTGGGCGCCGACATCTTGCATTGGCCGCAATAACTACAGTGGTAACTCGGCACCTGTTGCTGACCACAGACTGTGACCGCAGCGTAGATAGTTGGATTAAAAACATTACACAACTGCTGATGGAGGTACTCTAAACAGGCCGTCGTTACATTTATTTGATTATACATATTGGATGACACAGTATGATATAACGTTATTCTGCTCAGTTTAATCAATCAACTGATGCATTAAATTGTCAAAGACAGTCGCATTATGAAATACATTTATATAGATATTTATTATTTTTTCCATTGGATACGATGGACAGATGGACAGGATAAATGGATGTACTTAAGAATAAATACAAAGTAAATAAGCCAAACAAAGACATGAATGTTACATTTCACAATTGTTCACAGAGTCCACCTCAGTAATGGCAGCTTGTCAACTTTTTGGTCATTCTTCAGATCAGTCTATACAACAGCTTGCAAGCAGCATTTTTTTTTTTTTTAAAAAGCAAGTATCAACAGATTTGTTGATGTGATCTTTGACTTTGATCCACCATCGCAGCATTCCTCGTAACAACTCTTGCAGCGGTAACAGAGATGAAACTGTGGAGAAATGGCTTAACGCAATGTGAAATCAGACACTGGGACAGAAAATATCACGCCGTTGTGAGGTTCAGTTTGGAAGCACAAAGGTTTAGTGACGGTGAAGTTTTGTTAGGGCGCTGTACAAAAATCATAATGTCAACAGAGCTATAATTAAAAGTCCCAATGCTGTTGTACACTCAGCGAGACAAGAGGGCCTCTTGTCCAATCACATCACTTGCTCTGAAGCTACTGATGTATAAAGAGGGTGATGAGGGACGATGAAATATATACATTTTTAATTAACGCACCATCGGGAAACTGAATATGATCTGTGGGAGAATCTTTGCAGTTTCCCTGCGCTCTGCAGAATGAGATGGAGGATTTTCATTGTCCAGACCCAAAATGTTCTTTTTATTTAAATCAAATTAAATGTAAGTCGAGTTCATTCATGATTTAAAGAGCTAGAAAATAAAAGATGAAGATGGATGTACAGCTGGTAAGAACTACGGTTCATTTACACGTGTGCCTTGTCTGTTCGGGTTGTCATGAGTGTGGAACAGATGATCTTGACCGACACGTGATTGTTGTCATTCGTTTCCACATGAGCTACAGCCAGACTGAAAAACCGGGACACCAAACAAACCCTGAACTGCTTTTGCGTGGCACCGAGTCAGGTTGAATCACATCAGCTTGTGTCGGATCAAATCAAAAATGAATGCGCTCGTATCTGATTGTTGACCTACTTAAATGATTCCACTCTACATAAATAACTACAGCGTCGGCCAGAGAGGAATATTTCATAACATCTCCTGCTTGGCACCACAGTCTGAACAGTCTGCATAATTGTGTGCTTGAATACTCACACAGCCAAAAAAAATGCTGCTCATTCTGTCAAAGAGACTGTTGTTTCTTTTTCTTCTTTCTAGTTTTGGTCTTTTTTTTTTTCTATTGGCAGCAGCTTAACTAGTTGTGTTTTTTTAAAAAGAAGAGCGTTCACCTGTTTGAGAATGACTCAGAAAAATCTCCAGCTGACTGCAACACACATCTGTAGTAGACACACATAACAGGAGAGAGAGAGTATATAATAAGAGGAAAACAAGCGGCAGCGATTAGCTGTGGGCTGAATTGTTTCATAAAGATGATATTGCCTCCATCAGTGTGCTTGCCACTGTGGAGGATTTAGGTGTATGTTTTAACGTATAAATTTAAACATAAATCCAAAAACAAAAACTCATTATCCCTCGTCTGCTCTCAGTTTATGTGTTCATTGATTCATTCTTCAGAAGCTGCCTGTTATCGACCTAGAGAGAAGCTGTGTGTAGAATTGTGACAGAAAAGGTGAACCTGAGGCTGAAAATTCAACATATTGGTTGCATAAAAAAAATGGCTCTGTGTATGGAATATAAAAGCAGCTCTGACAGCTTTAGTAGACCCAGGACTGCCCGTTATTTGGCAGGAGTTGATCTCCCACTCTGCGAGGTCAGGAGGCTTTGCTGTAGCCGTTTCTCTCTTTAGCACGGTGCCAGGGAGCTGTGCGATGCCTCCTACTCTGTTTGGAAAGGATTAAATTATTACAGTCGTCGTAACGACACAAAGCGGCGACCCACCGCTCCGTGGGCCGCCGCTGAAAGTGAGCCAAACATCTGGTGCTGCCCTAAAATTCAAGCTGCTGACGTTTTGCAGCGTTTCAGGATCTGTTGCTGCAGAGCACAACCCGAGTCTGTCCTCCAGGTCCCATCAGGAGCTGGTCTGCTGCTGTGCTCAGCTTAGTAGACCTTTGATATTGAAAGCAGTAAGAGAGCCAAGCTACTGTTTTGATGAAGTGGAGTTGATTTTTAATTTATTGGACCACACCGTGGTTTGTTTTCTTTTTTGAATTGCTCAATTTGGCAGCATTTCTCATTTTTTGAGGTCTTAGTCTTTGGAGAGACATGACTTAAATTGGTGATTACAAAATGCTTTTGGTGGCCTCTAGCCTTCAGTTGTTGTTTCTCTTCAAAATTGGAAAATAACAATGCAATGGAAAAATATATGTTCTTGCTTATGCATTTAACACATACAAATTTCTGCTTGCACAGTGGAAAAATCAAAACACGTACACAAAACGACACACGAACATAACTGTCATGAGATAATTATAGGCAAGTCTCTAGGCAGATTAAGACACATCAACGTGACTCAACCAGTGAGAGTGCCCTGCTTTGCGAAGTCTGGTATAAATGTCTCGATGTAACCGCTCCCGAGCGGGATTCTGCTATGCATTTGTGCTGATTGTCACTCCTGTATAAGTTTCCCCCTTTTTGCAAAAGAAACCCTTTATACTCGAGCAATAAAATACACAAAGACAAACGGTTTGACTTGAGATCTTTTGTTAAATACAGAAAAATCAACAACAATAAAGAAAAGGCAAAAAAAAAAAACTAGTATTCACAATCAATGCTATGCTGCTGAATCTAAGATATTAGGAGCTACAAGTATAATTAGTATTTTTGTAAGTAATGTATTAGCAGACTATTGTTTAATTAAAGATTGTTTTGTTGTTGTTGTTTGTTAGAGCTCCAGTTGATCAAGCAGGTTGCATGTTTAGTTTGACCAACCAAAGACATTCAGTTTGATATCAAAGATAACAGAGAAGCAGCATATACTCACTCTGTTGAGCTATTGAGCTGGCTCTTGTGACTTCAGTAAAGGAGGCTTTGCTTTGCTTTACGCTAAGCTAATCTAAACTAAGCTATGTGAAGCCGTTTCTGGAACATTTCCACCTTACACTTGGTAGTGATGTAAATAAACCTGGCTCTACCAAAATATCAAAAGCTCAGTCTCAATCAGAGGATAGAGTTTGCTCTGTTATGACAAACACCGACCATGTGGCCACGGTTCAACTATATAGAAGAAGTCAAAGAAGCTACTGTAACAGCAGCACCCATTGGTTTGTGGACCCCCTTTTGAAACCTTCATTTCACCATTACATTTGGACATTGCCATTTTTTTTTGTGGAGCCAGAAGTGACCTTCTTTCAGAGTTGATACTAATTATCGTGTCCCTGCTCTGGTTGAGAAGTTGATTGTAACTTGTCAATCCAAGCCAAGCACTAAAGCAAACCCTGCTTTATGAGAACAGAATTTCCCAAATTTAAATCATGCTGTAACTTGATACTTAAACTTGAAGTAGGGGTTTTTGATTGAGCTTACATTCTTCCTTTAAATCTCCAAAAAGACAGAAAGTGAACTTGGATTGTTTTCCAAGCAGAGAGAAGTAAATGTTTTACTCACAAAGTTACTAGAGAGTGTAGTGATATTTAGATTTGAAGTGATATCAATGAGGACAAACAGACCCTGGAAGCCTTGAGATATGGCTGTAGCATCGTCAAGGTCAAGGATTTTTTTTTCGATGCTTATCTCCTGTTGTTTTTCCTTGAGCGTCTTGTCAACATCCCGTCCATTCACTTAGTCTGTTTAGCTGTGTTCAGCATGTTTGAAGCGTCTTGCTGGGAGGCACTGATTCATTGTCCCTGTTAGATTTGAAAGGTTATTCTTTGAACGGCCCTGGTGGCTACAGAATCAGAGCTGCAGCTCTCCGCAGGTACAGATGGTGACTGTGAAAGAGAAATGGAAGCAGAGGTTATAGTAAGATTTCAGAAAAAGCTAAAACACATGAAAAAGAGGGTAATTTATGCATTTTGTGAAGAGTTTGTGTGAGTGCTTGGGAAGGAAGGTTAAAGAAGTATTTGTGATAATGAATGGGAGGCTCTTCAACCACACACAATAAACAGGTGTTCATACAGCTAGATTTTATTTTTAAGTTGTCCACTATTTAAAAAAAAGTCAGCAGTTGTTGAAGTATCATCTCATGCTGTTTTAGTTACCTTTTAAACTCAGGCACTCATTCACTCATCAAAAGCTCTCATCTCGTCAGAAGCCAGTTATGAGGAAGCAGATGTGTAATAGAGGTCTGAAGAGCCATAGACAGTTAGAAAGTTAAACATTGCTTTATCTACCATGTTATCATCACTCTGTGGATTGATTCTGCTCAAACTGTGATCTGTTGAGTTAACTCACAGGACATGACTGATTATCAAAGGCACAACAGCACTGCAACACTTTGTCATGTCATTTGTGTAAAAGGAACCATTTGCATGCTTTTTAGTGTGCTGTTCCAGAGTAATCAATTTTCATGTAACACTTCATCAGCAGTGAGAGAACAGCACTTTACAAACTCGACCGCATGACATAGAATTTAAAGTTACACAGAGACACACTTGTCCCCCAAATAATGTGCAAGGCAAGATCTCAAAGCAGAGGTATTGGAGAAAACATACGTGCACAAATCCACAAAAAAAGTCAAGTTTAAAGCTTCTGCGAGGAACTTTGGGTTTTTGTTGATTTTAGCGCCCCTTGTGGACAAAGTGGTTTGTGTTATCTATTTTCTGAATTTGTCCTGTACACATGTGCAAGTTGTGTTTTTCGATCAAAAAATGCATCCATCTTTCTTTAAACTGTGAAGTATACCTCTCATGGTGAGTCTTTTACTTGGAAAATGTAATGAAATGCTGTTTTTAGCGTTTCTGTGTAATAATTACTTTGACTGACACCTACCCAGCTGCAGCGACTTCAGACACTGATAATAACAACTTAGAAATAATCAGTCTGCTTCATGATGGTCTCATTTGCTTTTTTAGCTCATAAAGAGGAATCAGTATACATTTCAGTCTGTTTCATAACCATCTAAAAACTCCTCACTGGAGCTTGGAAGCAAAAATATGAGAGAAAACACTTTAATGAAATAAAAGGTGTGATTGGAGTTATTTTGTTTTAAGTTGATTTTTTTATTTATTTAAAAGCTACAAGAAGAACTGTTTCCCTTGATTTCGCGTGTGAGGGCTTTCCTCATATTTATGACTCTCAGAGGGAGAGCTGCTTGCTCAAAGGCATGGCAACAAAAGAAACGAATAACAATAATAAAAAAGATATACTTTATTAATCCTAGAGGGACAATTTAATCTTGTAATTGAAAAATGCTACAGATAGGCACGAAACATGCACAAACAGGACCCTGTGGACATGCATTAATGGTGAAATGTGTGAGGGGGCTGCACTCAGATGAGCACCCCTAGAAGTTGGATAGTGGATGCCATGCTCAAGGGCACATCTGAAGTGAGCACCTCTCTATTCCCACTTTGTCTTTTCTCCCCCTCTCTATGCTGCTTGTTTTACATCCATAGTCAAGACTCCTGCAGCAACCCAGAAATTCTACAAATAAAACAAGAAAATTGAATTAAATATTCAAGATAAAGATTTAGATTTAGAGAGGCTGCAACCATGGAGGAAGAATTCAGAACAAAAATAGAAAGGAGAGGGCCTGTATGTGTGTGTCTGTGTGTGTAATGCTGGCTAAAGTGTAGCTCTTCATGTAGACAGAAAAAACGGGTAAGGGCACATTGAATTTTTCTATTGATTGGTGTCAGGCCATGAGCCATAAATTCCCCCTTAGTTAGAAGAGTAATCAATAGGTAATTAGTCTCTTATTGAAATTACCAGACCCCCCTCGTCTTTACCTTAGAAACCCAAACGCCATTTGGTCCCATTGTTTACAGTCTGTCCATAACCAGTCTGCACTCCTGAAGAGCTGTGGGACATTTGATACAGTGTTAAAACAATAGTCCTTAATTTGGGGAAATGCCTTATAGGCTTTCCTGTTGAGAGGTGAGGAGATTGATAACGCTCGTGTGCTCAACCAGGATTTGGTTAGTTTAGCATAAAGCCTAGAAGCTGTACTGAAAAAGCTTTGCCTTCAGCTTTGTTCGACAAAGATATATATATATATTAGATGAATCAACAGTGGGCACATTTCTGTGGTCTTTATCCATCCAGGACTCTAATTCAACATGTCTAATTAAAACATCATGAGCAACTTTGGGAAAAGAAGAGCAAAAAGTCAAATTTGCCTTGAAATTATCTTACCAGGGAAAGGGAAAAGGCACTCTCATTAAACACATGAACATGCTGCGCCTCACCTGTGGCACAGGATGAGTCCACTAAGAGGCAGTGAGTGCAGACACAGCGTGCAGTCAGGAAGAAGGTTATTAGGCAGGTAGGCGTGAAACGTCTTCAAGATCTTAAACCGGTCCAGTTGCCTTTGGATCAAGCTTTGAATTCAAAATAACTACCTTTAAAATCCAGAGTATAAGTCACACGGGTATGTAAGACAAAGTCTAATTTAGGAGCTCTCCTCGAGGGAAAAACGCTCCAATCTGTCTTTCTGAGTGACGCTTTCCATTGCGTTCGGCGAAGTCCACAACATGCAGCTTCTGTGCAGCTGTGAAGCTCTTTTAGTACCATCTGTTTTTGCCATGTGGATTTTTGCAACCGTGCTAGCTAGCGGTATGATAGTTGAGCTCTCAGCCTACGGTAATGTTGATAGTTGTGAAGTACAGACCCACAGCCCACGACCAATTTCCTGCACACGTTGCTGGTCACCTGCTTTAAATGAGGAGTCTTTTCAGTCCTACCAGCGCTCCACAAGGTTTGTCTCCTTAACAGTATGTCACCTACAACTTAAACAACAACTGCCCATGTCGTAATCCCAAGAGAAGCTGGGACTGATGAGCCGACATTCATAACAATAAGTGAATAACTCCTTTATTATTAGTTGACTTTAAATAAGTATCTTTATCTTAATCTCTCAGTAAGACAAAAAAGTTATCAGACCTTAAACAAAAAAGCCCAAATTGAAGTTATTAACCGGAAACTATTAAGACCATTTTAAGTAAACGTCTCTGTATAAGAAACCCTGGTGAAAGCCACAGAAGATGTTGTTATTTTGATTACCTCAGCCTTGTACCTGACGCCACATCTGTTTGTAAATTCTCTGTGGAGGTTGAACAAGTCCTCAGCGCCGCATCCTCCAGCTGTGTCTGTCTGCGCGCCTCATTCTTCATAACGCTCCCTCTGTCTTGCAGTCTGTCTCCTCCGTGGCAGCCTGGTGTTTTGCTCGCTCTGTGACGCACTGAAACAGATTTTGCCCGGCGCTACTTTAATCAGATAGATTAACTGCCAGTATTGTGTTTTTCCTTCCTATCATCCTGCGTATCAGTCCGTGCTGAGCTTTCACTCTTTTTGTGTGTGGATCAGATTGAGGCCCTGATAGCTTGATATTTATCCCCACGCAGGACCCGTCTGATGTCGCAACACAGGAAATGTGATTTGATCTTGTTTGTTTAATAAAAAAAAACACTTATTTCTGTTATTTACATTTACCTGCATGTGTTTCGTTCCTCAGGCAGGGAGCCCGACTTCAGTCAACGCTCCATGCAGTTTCTCGAGGACGTCAGTTTCGCCCTCCAGCCAGGACATCTGCAGGTACAAAGCCATTCGACGGCACTTCACTCTTACTGCCAGTTATGTGATTTATGTCCACAGTGATGTGAACACTTGAGGCCCTTAAATTGAATCTATTAACAAGTCCATTACTGGTGAAGAGCGATATCAGTGGGCGATGTTGGTTTAGCTTTTACCCTTAGAAATATGCTGCCATTGTGGGAAATAGTCTTGGTTCTGCATAAGCTGTAGAATATATTTCATCGTAACTTCGGTCGTCTAGTTATGATATTTTTATTCAAACTCAAAGCCCCCAACACCTTCTGTTCAATATCCTTTGATTTCAAATGCATGATGTCTTCCATTTCTCTTTTTTGTCCTTCCTGCTTCTTCTCCTGCTGTCTTTTTCCACTGTCGTCTTTTTCATCATTCATAAACAAACACACACACGCACGAACACTTTTTACGACAGCAGTCAGGATCAGGAGTGTCAGAAGCAGACTGCGGTGGTTCTGCTGAGCCCTTACTGTAAATCCCCCCAAGGGTCAGGAGGAGTTTCAGTCGCTACTCTCTGCACGGACGCACTGCCTGCGTCCAAACACGCCAAACAACGAGACTGGCTCACCCTGCTCCGCCCCTCCTCTGTCAACATCCGCACCAACGGCTCGCTCAGGTTCTCCGTGTCTCTTAACGATATGGGCCAGCGTGTGGACAGTCTTTGTCGGGGTCTGCACTTTATAGACCGGACGTGCTCGGAGGGAGAGCTGGAGCTGAAGCCTGAAGCTGCTCCGTCGACTGGTTCGGATCGCAGGGCGCACACGCTCAACGGCAAGCTGGCTTCCTCACCCGCACACCAGAACCCAAATACATCCTTCTCTACACACACCCACCCCCATCTGGTCCCCTCCTTCACCAACAACTACAAGTACATGTTGGGCGTCCCGCCTGCAAATTGTCTCCCGTCTGACTCTACCGTCGTTGCCCCTCCTCCCCCTCCCCCCTCCCCCTCTTTCACACAACCACCTCCATCCCAAACACTCCCCGAGCTCCAACTTCCTCCGCCGCCTCCTCCCTTTCTCCCGCTCCTCCACCTCGGCCAGCCTGCAGTGCTCTGAGATGAGCAGCTACGCCTCTCACCTCCACATCACCAAGTCCTCCAGTGCCCTGCTGGAAGGCAGCGAGGCCGGGTTTCCCCAAGAGGAGCTACTGGGAGATGACGACGTGTTTGAGGAGTCCAGTCCTGCTGCAAAGGGAACCGGCAAGCGTCCTCCCCCGCTAACAATCACAGCGGCCCGGAAGGGTTCACATCTAGCCCCCATGGTCTTTATGGACGAGGACTGCGACTTGGACTGTTGCCCGTCCCCTTTTTCAGAGAAAAACGAGCCAATGTCACCTTTTTCACTCTCTGGGGACTGCTGCAGGTGGGGTGACTGTCTGGATGTCCACATGCACCCTCTCTGTGACTTGGTAGAACCCAGAACACCCCTGTGCAGTTAGCCCAAGAGCCCTGTGGAATAGTGGAGAGCTTCTCCCCCTGTAGAGTTCAGCAAATATTCAACACCGCAGCTGTATTTGTCCTCAGAACCCTGGCTCAGAGGACACCAAGGCCCTTTTTTACACCGGGTGTTAACATGCAGCTTGAGTGATTTCATCATAGAACAGGTTTAAACACGCCTTGGAGGCATTGAGATTCAACAACGACATTGAATGACAGACCACTCACTTGTCATTCTCGTCCTATACTTCTGTGTTTTCCATGTGTCACTTGATGCCATTCATGCGGAAACGGGGAGGCCGTGTACCAAAATATGGGACAAAACTAGATTCAGTAATGGACAGTGCGTTGTATTTTTCACCATGGACGATCATGTGCAGGGACGAGGGAAGCAGACTAGACATCACCTGCAGGAGAGCGATGAGACCAACGAGCAGATCTGCTTATATCGTTAATGCTTTAATGATGCAGCGCAGTGAAGACGTATACGTTTTATAGAGGAGATCAGGTTGTAACACTAAGATGTGTCAGTCTGTTTGACCTGCTAATCTATAGTAAATATGTCAACAGAGACTCAATAGAACAAGACGAGGCTTTATGATCAGAGAACGTTTTTATATCATGCCAACGCTCCTGTCAGGGGACTCGCTTGCCCACTGAAGCCGGCTCTCTCTCTCTCTCTCTCTATCTGCTCTATCAAACTTTTTGTAAGATTAAGTTATTTGTGGGTTAATGCAGGTGATAGAGCGTACCTGTTTGTATATAAGAGGGGGGAAGTGAGAACCTTCAATGAGTGGTCACTGGTGAAACACATGGAGATGCATTAATGACAGTGTATAGCTGCACATAGAGTCGTCCACTTGAGATCAGAACGGCTCAGACGCATGTTAATCCCGGTGTAAGCAGGCTAATCGATACTTTAGTCCATACACAATGCAACACACTACAGACCTCCTCCTCTTTGGCTTTCCTTATATAAACCCACTGTGTGTGTGTGTGTAGAGCAGAAATGTGTCTTCATTTCATCTCGAACAATTTCATTCCACTTCACTGCTATCTCAGCGGTGTGCCATGTTTTTAATCACGCTGTCAGGCTGTGTTTTTAAGATATTTTTTCATTGTTACTAGATCAATGTGGCATTAAAGTGTCTAACGTTGGCTGCGAAAAATGTATGATTGATTTTGCCCTTAGGCTTTGCGGTGGAGGCGGGGGAAAAGGGTCCAATGGCAGCAGTGTTTAATATAAAAGGCAGAGAGACAGAGGTTAGGGCAGAAAATGTAATAGAACTGAGGAATGGCGTTTGTTTCTGTCGGAGAAATAGTGAAACAAAAGGCAGACAGGGGATGATAAAAGGTGTTGAACCTGATGGAGTCTGTCTGATTCGGTCAGAAAGGCCATTATAAGTGGCAGTCAGAGTGTGAATTACCGAGCCAGGAGCCTGGTTATGTTAGGACGGAGAGATAGTGAGAATTGATTAAAGAGCAGGTCATGGCTACTTGCTCCCTGCAGATGAGACCTGCTAGTAGTAGATCTAACTTTGTCCTATGTCTCCCAGAAAAGGAGTTTAGAGCCCTACATTGATTATGTTGATCTCTTCTGGGTGTCAGTATCTGCCTGCCTGTCAAATGTGAACTGGTGACAGGTCACCGGCTTAAAATGAGTTAGGTCTTACACATAAAAGAAATGTTAAAAAAAAGTACATGTCCCCTCAGGTTTTTTGGTCTGTGCGTGGACTCTAGATTCTAGATTATTTTCCTTATACGTCATTCATGGGCTGATTGAGAAACATGAGCTTAGAATTGGAAAGGTGAAGGCCAGAGATCAGGAAGTGGATTATTGGCTTCAAATAGCCTGTGCAGTCGCTGAGTTCACACACACACACACACACACACACACACACACACACACACACACACACACACACACACACACACACACACACACACACACACACACACACACACACACACACTTAGAAAAACAAACATCCTGCCAGCTTTCTGTCAGGTGGCTTGGAGCGTGAGTTCAGAGCAGAGGCTCACCTCACCTGCTGGACAGTTTGTGTGTGTGTGTGTGTGTGTGTGTGTGTGTGTGTGAGAGAGAGAGCAGACGGTTGTTTTTCACAGTTGAATGGCATGCAAATGATTGGCCAGATCTCTTATTGATAAACTTTCAGAAGTGCTGGTTGTAAGTCTGATAAAGATGACCCTTTTCTTCTCAGGAATTCCACCTTTTAGAGAAACTTGAAGGCAAAAATAGTTTAAAATTCAAGATTTCTTCCTTCAATCAAATCCACTGCTGACTGGTTTATTAAACCTGCATTTCTACGATTCACATGTTAATGTGTAAAGTGGTTGTCTTCCTTTCCTGCTTTTTTGGTTGTGTAGTGCTCTGCAGCTTGGTAAAACAGCATTAAAAAAACATAAAAACTAAGGCTCATTAAAATCCTCTTTTGACTTCTTATCAGAAAGTTCACCTTTTCAAGACACTTGAAGGTGCAAATCAGTGATTACATTCAATGTTTCTCCTCTAAATTCTGTATATTAGCTAAATTTCTCAAAAACCTTCATTCCTAGCATTCATAAAAAGTTCATATTTGTCTTCATAGCTGCCGTTTGGGTGTTCATTGTGTTGTAACTTAACCCATCACACAAAGACATTACAGCCAAGTGTCATTCAACGCCTCTATCTTATAATGGCAGGAGTTTTAATTATTAGAGAAACTTCAACAACATCCTTCCTCCTAGTTTAAAAAAAAACCCTGTATAGCTTGCTTCTGTGTTGACATGAACTATAGCTGTGATGTTACCTTCTTTAAAGTTCAACGCTCGACACTTTATCAAATGGCACAACAAAGAATATCCCCCTTCTTAATATTGAAAGATTCTCTTGTTCAAACATTTTTAAAGCAGAATATCTTAAGTCCTGAATTACTTCCACCTTGATGTTCATTAATCAGGATTTATTTTCCTTTCCTGTCTTTTTTTAGTCAAATATGTCTTTCTTGATCCTCATTGTCAATTCATTGAGGAACGTACTGTATATGTCTCTCTGTTTAAAGCGGATCCAAAGCTGAAACAACTGCATTTCCTACATGTAGAATGATTCACTTTGTGGCAGTGCACTTCTGTGTTGTCACATTTCTGAATTGCTCAACGACTAAGTGTCATTTAAAACCCTTTTCTTTTCTAAAAATGTTAGAGATGTTCCTGTTAGAGAAACTTTAATGTTCATACACATGTTTACTCAAAATCATTTCCCAGACTAAATACTTTTAAAAAGTTGCTTTTGCATTTCTTACATCTGTATTCATCAACTACTTGTTGTCTTCTTACCCGACTTCTCTGAATACATTGCTACTTGTTATGTTGAAGATCAGAAGTGTACTTTAAAAATGACTTTCATTTGATAGATTTTTACCAGCGTTAATGTAAATTATTATAGTTAGGATTATGTTCCATGGCTTGCATCTTGCTTGTCTCTTTTTCTTGTTCACTCTGCACATTTGCATTCCCACCCTCTGTTGTCCTCGAGCATGTACTAGCAGAGCAGCAGTTGCATATAAAACAGAGAACAGTGCTCCCTAGTGCCTTTAGCATTAAAAAAAAAAAACCCTCTGCAGCGTACCTTAGAGCTCTCACATCTGACAATGTGAAGCAGCCACAGCCTGTGTAATTCCTTAACCTTCCTCTGAAAGACACATTTCTTCTTGGCATATTTAATATTCTCCTTTAAGCCAATCATGTCAGCGTTGTAAGACTTGTATACTCAGAGGCGGAAAGGAGGGAAAGGGAGATGGCTTCCAGTGGCGGTGCTGCTATTTGAAATGTGTTTTTCTCTGATCAGCGTGAGCTTAAACTGTTCAGACTGAGAGCAGGAGAGAACAAAATGTTTCATATGTTGCTCTTTGCCCCTTAACACCCATTGAAAATCTGTTTAGCATAAAAGCAAAAACAGCAGATTGGTGTTGAAAAATTCATTGGAAAATAAATACGTAAACATTTCAGGGTGAGGGCGGATAAAGGAATAGCCAGAGGGAGGGAGCGAGTGAAGAGTGCGGAGATCGTCTGAATGCCACAGGAGAGAAGTTAGGAGGAAACAGACAAGAAAGAACAGGAATAAAATGAATGGCTCGCCAGGGCGGCAATGTTGCTGAGCTTGTTTCCCCCCCCTCAGCTTGTTATTTCCCGACTCTCACGTTTTGATGTTGACACACTCCAAAAGCGCCTCTGCCTTCTTTAAATTACTGTTGAGGAGGGTGTGTTTTGGCTGCTCAAGCGTCGCAAATTAAATTTTAACCTCCCTCCCATGCCTCACGGTGCTTGGAAGGTGCAGCAGCTGACACAATTACTCCAAATTTATCTGTGGAATTGCAGGAAGGTTCCTTTGTAAAAACTAAAAGATAACCTGTTTATTTTAATGACAAAGCTGAATTTCTTCATCTCTATTTATTGGATTTTTTTCCTAAAAGGACCTCATTGGAGAATTTTGTAGCTGTTGCTAACAAATAAAGCCTCCATAAATCATATATTCCAAGACCCCTTCAGTCTCTTACACTCATGTTGTTACTGCTTTATTTCCCCTGTGGCTCCATGTGGAGGTGTAGGGATTTTTCTGTGATTATCCCCTCCTACGAGAAAACAAAAAATCCACAGCAACACTAGGATGACATATCAAATCGGTCCATTTCATTTGATATAAGCAAGAGAGTCCTTGTCCCTGGGCTCTGTTTTCGAGTTCTTTAGAGTGTGTGTGGGATGAGAATTTGCAGTTCATCTTGTGATCCATGCAAACAAACACAAACAAAGCATCCCAGCCATAACCGACAGAAAACCCCTCTGACTGAGATGTTAATTGTGCTTCTTCTATCCCTTAATCCCCCTCCCTCCACCTCCTCCTGTATTTGAGAAACTCATAGAAATGACCTATTTTTATCCTCCTGTGTTCATATTTGTCGTCTAATCTTGTAACACTCTGGTCAGATCAGTGAAGTCTGGAAAGAGTCGTCTCCTTTCCCGCTAAGATTCTGACATGTGTGGGCACGTGTGGGCACGTGTGCGTGTGTGTGTGTCTTAATGAGTTCTTATCCTCCCATGAACCGGGGTAAACCCCAGCTGAACAGACTCCACTCATCTCCAACACCTTCCTTTATTTCTGTCTTCTTCCCCAGAGAGAAGCACCACTGCTCTCTGCATCTCACTCGGGGGGAAAACACAGCAGAAGCAGCTTCTGGTAAAAATGTGTAGAAAAAGAGGATCAGTCTTACACCTTCACTTGTACCCATTAACTATGAAGCCTCTGCAAGGGGCATCATGTGCACTTTATTCTCAACAACAACAGTATTTGCTCCCTTTACAATATCTCTGTTGGTCCATCCTGACCTTTTAATCAAAGGTGTGCAGAGGAGGAACGACAGCAGCTGCTTTTTCTTTCTCGTTGCTCATTCACTGAGGGCCCTGTGGAGTAAACAGCCGAAAGGAAAAACGACTTTCCTTAGATGTTAATGGCTTTAGCTCCTGATTCCTGCCACTGGGGTGTGTGAGTGTGATATTGACCGTATTTGAAGGTAATACGTAGCTTTAATAGCCTTCTCCCGCCCCTCATTTTGTCTCCTCTTGCACCTAAACCTACCCCTCCGAGAAACTGTAGCTGACTTACTAGTGAAAGTGTGGACAACATTTTATACTTTTGTATATGAATCTCCCAGTGTTCGTTTACACGTCGAACCTCTCACGCTTCTGCAACCCTGTAACGTACTGTAATATCATACACTGGGACACGTTTATTATGCTGCTGCAGGGTTCAGTGTAAAACAATCAAAGGAAGAGTAAAGGCAGAGCTTCATTGCTGCACAGCGACAGAATCTCAATATCAAAAGGGCTATAGACTCAAGGCCAAATGCCAAGTGTTAAAAATAATCTCACAGTGCTGATATTGTTGTATCAAAGTCTGAATGATCTTTATTGTCACTATACTAAGTTTAATACTAACTAACTTTTATGGTTAAAACTTTGTGGTTTTTATGTCTACTGTGAAGTCAGAAGAAACAATATAACAACAAGTAAACACTGCAATAAATAAGGTAACAAATAGAGCTTTAAAAACAACGAGACAACTTTTGCACAAACTTTATTGTGCTGATATTTCGAGTGCTATGTTGTGCTGATATTGCTTGGTACAACATTTCAAATTGTTTGCTATTGCAACTAATGCTTATTTGTATTGTGTGCATTCATCTCTATCTACCATATAAAACACAAACAGTAAAATAAGGTTTCTGTTCCGCTGCTGCTTTAGTGGCCTGTTTGATTCAGAGGTACCGGTCTGGACAAACACAGCGCCTGTTGGCTGGCTGGCAAGCTCTGCCATAAGATATTCTGAAGAGTTGCAATGCATTGTGGGGCAGTTGAGTACGCCCTAGTGAGCTCTCCTATCAGACTGAAATTATGGCCGGTCTCCTGTAGTATACATCCGGGCCCTTTCTTGCATACACAAAACTGCATACTATGAATTCTGAACACACTACATTCTCATTATGTTATTCTTAGCATGAGCAGTGTGAGAGTGTGCAGCCTGACACAGTTTACTGTCAATAATAATGAACTGTATTCAGAACACCTGAAGCAGTGTGATGCAGATACTGAAATGTGGGGGTGTTGTTGTACTCTGTCAGCTCTCATGGCATGCATGCCTTTGTCCAATGGAAATACTTGTCTGGAGTTAACTGTCGTTTATCACCCATAGGAGACAAACACACTCCTCCTCAGAGAAGGTGACTACAGCTCCTGTCCTCCAACCTGTCAGTCAAAGTGCGAGTGGTGATCCTGAAGAGGGAGATAGTCGGCTTTAGCCCAATATTAAAAATCCAATTGGGTTTTTTAACTGAGAAAGACCTGTCCAGCAGTAGCTTTGAGGCAGCAGACACCTAATCGAATGTTCCAGGTGAAAGTATCTGTGCACAGAATATTTTACAGAAGAGGTAGGCATGTACAGAGGTCGAGTACAATTTCACCTGTTTGTGCCAAAGTCCAGGCTTTGCAACAACTAGTACATTTAAGAAGCCTTCAAAACTCAACTAAGGTTAATCTTACATCTGCATTGTTTGACAGACATTGTACTCCTCCTTGTAAAAGATTGCTGCAGGACTGCAGGGTATCTGAGATTAGATTAGCCGTGTTCAATTTAGTGCTGCCACACTGCACTAACAGATGATTCTTTTCAGAAAATGTCATTTTGAGTTTCAAATGAAGTGCTTTGAATCAAATTATTTTGTCTTGATTGAGCGTATACATGTGGGACATGTGTTATCTTTTGCATTCAGGGTCTTGATATTCTCACATTTTTTGTGAAATTGTATTCCCTCCAGCCATGCATTCTTATATCCGTGGCAATCGTGGGGAATGAGTATTTTGTTAGCACCTTGTCTTATTAAAAGAAACTACTGGAGAGAACAACAAGTTTGCTGACATCTGTCCTCAAAAAGTCAAGTTTTAATGACTTTGGGGAAATATCCGCCAGCCCGGCCTGCCAACTTTTCTCTTTTTGATCTCCTCCTCTTTCCTGTCTTCCTCCTCCTTTTTCAGCTGTCTGTCCTCTGGCAAAGTGTTCACTGTATTTTCTTTTTTTTTTATGGCTCCCGTAGGATTTGTCACTGTGAAGGGGATGACGAGAGTCCTCTGATCACACCATGCCACTGCACGGGGAGCCTGCGCTTTGTCCACCAGTCCTGTCTGCAGCAGTGGATCAAGAGCTCTGACACGCGTTGCTGTGAGCTCTGCAAATATGAGTTCATCATGGAGACTAAGCTCAAACCGCTGCGCAAGGTAAGACGTAGTTTCTCTATGTAGAGCCAATTAATGTTCATGTCCATTAATTCAGTCTCAGCTGATAAACTCAGCCTGTGGTTGCGGCTCTGTGAGCTCACATCACTCCTTCATTATGTAGCTAAAATGCCAAAAGCTGTCTCCAATCTGTCTGGAAGATAACACAGCCATGACTCTGAGCTTTGATGCTGTTTTTATAAGCGGAACCAGTTGAAGGGGTCTGGGGATGGGGGTTGTGATTCATTTCAAACGGTTTGTAGGCATCACACTTTCATTAAAGTTTCTTATCAATCGCTGTGGCCTGGAGATAGGAGGACACTCTAATTAAAATTCCTCCGCCCTTCATTAGCTGCACATAAGGCCTTAAACAAATGCTCTGCTGTTAATAGCTTCGGATTCCCACCGGTGTACATTGGAAATCTAAAGCATGCAGCAAAATTCAAGATGAGATGTTGATCCTGGTGTGAAGGGTTTTTGTTTCATCAAAGGATGCTTGGAACCGTCTCACACTCGACGCCTACTCCTTGTCATAATGACCCTGCAATTGTGCCCTTTCACAGCCGAATAATGCATTAGCAAGGCCATACAGTACAGCTGGTGTGTTTTGCTCATATGGCTGGGCTCATTTCTTGATTATGCATTGTGAAGAATGAGACAGACAAAGTAACATGTCCTTTGTGTGCTGGATTACGCCACTTCTCTTCTCTAGCTTACTCACCCTACCAAGAACCATATGCATTATTGGATTCTAATTAGAGTAAATCGTCTACATCAGTTATTAAACCAACACTGGGCTTTTCTGAGGGTTGAGTTAAACTGCAAAATGTCCTTAACATCAGAACTTTCCTGACTCGACCTTGATGCCGAATAATGACAATCATTGACTTTCAGAGAGCGGCCGTATTTAACGGTTAACCATTTCCTTCATTGGTTTCTGTGTGTTGATTAATTTTTTTCATGACCTTGCGTCCTTCCCTTTTTTTCCCTTTCTGCCGCAGTGGGAGAAGCTACAGATGACGGCGAGCGAGAGAAGGAAGATCATCTGTTCGGTCACGTTCCACGTCATCGCAATCACCTGCGTGGTGTGGTCGCTCTACGTTCTCATCGACAGAACGGCAGACGAAATCAGACGAGGTCAGCACAGCCTCAGACACACACACATTCAGCGTAACGCAACATCATTCTGTGCTTGATTTAGTGTTTTGTAAGATGTCATTCATTTATCCCCAATTTGCCAAGTCATTCATGCACAGTTTAATTACTAATCTGCACATCTAAAGTGTAAGTCAATGTTGTGAGTGTCAAGTGTGAGTGGTGTGAAATGTTCTCTTAAGACTGGAGTATATGTGGGCGTAATTCACTCACAGGAGTTCAGTGGACACCGAACAAATAAGAGAGTGCCATGATCATTTTCTAGCTGTGAGATTTTTGGACTTTAAATTTATTCCCCTTTGATTTCAGACCTGTAGTCCATGAAAGAGGAAATTGAGAGATAAAAGAAATGGAGGGAAGAGACTTAAAAAAGTAGATGTAACATCTGTGGCTGTTAGATGTTGTTAGAGATTTAGACTTTTAGGGCTGAGGTGATTCTGCTACATTCCTCTTCAAGAGGCTTAGAGCAGATTCTCTGTGCGTGCTGTGAATCAAAATGACTGTGTTTAAAGTCGAGTTGAGCATAGCCTTGTAATTGACTTTAGGTCTATATAATGATAAGAGCGTGTAAGTTTGTGTGAATAATTATAACACTATGTGATTGTGTGTGTGGGTGCACGGGTTATAACACATAAAGCTGATGAAACTTAGGGTAAAAGGTCTGAAAGCAGTTTGGTGCTTCAGCTATAACTGGACACATTACTGTAGCTTTTAAGGTGAATTAAAACACAGAGTGAACTTAGATGTTAATTTCTGTGAGGCTTAAAAGAATAGACTATTTTCTTTTTAGTTAATTATCTTTTGTCAAAAGTTTGATGAGAAGATTGATATAAATCATGTGTAGGTTAAATCTGTAGCTACAGTTAGCTTAGGTTAGCATAGATACAGAAAACAGCTATCTTGACTGAGCCCAAAAGAAACCAAACTTTACCTAACAGTGCATCTAAAGAACACTAACAAATATATCTTGATGGTTTTATCTTGACAAAAGTGTAAAACTCTTGTGGGTTTATGTGGTGCTTTTTTAAGAATATTTTATGGTTGGTAACGCTTCTCTTTAGGCTTGTCACTGTGAATTTTCAGGCAACTAAAAGACATTTTGGGACAGTTAAACCAAGTGAGATGTAAGCTGTAAATTAATAATTAGCTTAAGACGTGCGGACAGATTTATGTTGTTACCTTTGGAGAGAATCAGGCTAGCTGTCTCTCTTTCCAGTTTCCAGTCGTAGGTCTAAGCTAAGAGATCGCTTGCTGTAACTTCATGTTTAGTTTGCTATACTAAACTATACTGGGCCAAAAATAAGCATTGTGACACTTGTTACTGCACAGCCTCACTGTTCTCTTTCATTTCTTGTCCCATAGCTTTTTTCTAAACTTTAACCTGTGACTGCTACAGACTTTGAATGCTACAGAATATTATTTAGCGGGTGGTCAGAAGGGCGACTAAAACCTTTAATATTCAGAATAACAGGAGCCCTGACTTCACATTTTAAACCCTTTTTGCAGCCCCTTGTATCATGGCTGCATCCATCTTGACCGAAGCAGAGTCTGAGTTACAGACAGATTGCTCTGCTCTAGCCACGCGGCTCTCACTGCCCGGGTTAAAAATGGAGATGGCTGCTTTGATGATGAGCTGATGTATCATCGGCTGGCTCTTCATGTGCGGACACTCTTTTCGTCTTGGCATGTTTGGTGCTTTAGAGATGGTGTACAGATGGAAGAGCAAGCTGTGCCTGTTTAGCCCAACCTGATGATTCACACTTGTTAGAGTCCCAGAGGGCTGTCAGGTTCAATCACCATGGTGATACCAACTAGTTTTTACCAGGCCTGCTTGTCTTCTGCCAAGTCTCAAAAGAACCTTGGCTATTTTTTATCTCTCAATTAGATCACAAAGATTACAGCAAAGTGAAATGTATTTAATGTTTATTCTGAATTTGTTAAGCAGATTTGATGTTTATGATTTACATGATCCTAAAGAGTGCAACTATGATTTTTAAAATCTATTTAAAAATTTCTGGGCTTTGCCTTTTCTTTCAATCTGTTTGTGTGTCTTTGGTAATACATGATACTTACACTTTCTTCACTCATGCAGACGGAAGAATCCCAGGTAAACATTTCCACTTTAACCTTTGACTTTAAATTGTGTTCCCCACCCCCCCACCCCCGTCAGCCTTTGTCGTCTGTCAGCTGTATCCGGTTCTTTTCTGACTGCTCTCTACACCCTTTTCCTTCCCTTTCCCTGTGCCTTGATTTCAGGATGTAAATATTCATTCTTCACCCCAAATAGGCCTGTAACAGTCACTCCACACAACACTGGAAGTTCAGCCTAACAAATGCAGAACGACCGAATGAAGGAACAGGCTGTGATCATATTTTGTGACTGAGGGATTTGATTATAAGAAACCTCACAACCTCTTTCTTTCCTTTTCTTAGACCACAGTTCTCCCTATGAGTTTTTGTTTTGGATGATGCGGCTGGTTATCAATATTTGCAAATTGCAGTTTTCTTCCCCCCTACTTTGGGGGATGAAAGCGATTGGTGTGTCAGGATTTATGCAACTTTCAAATATGCTGCAATGCCTGTAAGGCCGTAGAAATGTTTTTTGCACAGTTAAGCAAATACACAAAGGCTCACATTTAGTAAAACCTTGGCGTTATGAGCACTTTGGGGCAGTTATGTGTGTCTTTTTCTTATTCGTAGTTACTTTGGAGGAATTTTATGCCTGAATAGGACAGCAACGTCGAAAGATGACATGATAATTTGGGGAATGGCATGGAAACGATTACCCTTCCTGGATCAGTCCACTATGGCACCCTCCTCTTCTTTATTTATGTTGCTTCAGCATGGAAACAAAAATGCAAACCTGCTTGAATTAGATATTATACACCATGTCAGCTTTTATTGATGTTATTAAATGAATGGAGTGATATGTGCAGAATGATTAGAAAAGGCATATAATCCCATTATTTAAAATTAAGTTTATAAGGTTATATTAGTGTATTTTCTTAAATGGCAGTCAAGAAAAATGTCTATGGTTAGAAAAGAGATGGGAATTTCTGTTTTTTTTTTTTTTTTTTTTATCATATAGTGAATCAAATCAGGAAACTATCAAGTAAAATCGAATCATTTCCAAACTTATTAGAATTTTTTCTTGAAGACTTTTTTTAATTTTCTGTGTTTGACTCACGGATGTTTTTCTTGTTTGTGTTTTCTGTCCCTCAGGGGTCACGGACTGGCCTTTCTGGACCAAGCTGGTGGTGGTGGCGATCGGCTTCACAGGTGGACTGGTGTTCATGTACGTCCAGTGCAAAGTCTACATCCATCTATGGAGGAGACTCAAGGCTTACAACCGGGTCATCTACGTCCAGAACCGGCCCGACACGTGTAAAAAGCTGGCGCTGGAGAAGCCCCCTCTTCTGGAGCCAAGTCTTGAGAACAAGGAAGCGCTGGTCCCCGCCCAGTCGGACACAAACTCCTCCCAGTACACAGAGACAGAGGACTACAGTATGGAGGTGCTCCATGTCTGACCACGCAGTCCATCCTCATAAACACAAACAAACAGGCCCAGAGGGAGGACCAGTGGATGTGGAAATGCTCTTAAACTGAGGAACAAGCCGACACTCCCCCTCCTCTGATCCCGCATCCTCCCCTGGTCAAGTTATAAACCCACAACTCTGCCAGAGACCACCAGACCAGGACTATCTTCTTCAATCAACATCCCTCTTGCCAGATTTGATTCCTCCCTCCACACTGCCTCCTCTTTCCTCTTCCCAGGACTGGACTGTTTTTACGGACTTCTGTAAATGTCTGAAGAGGCCTGGGGCACACTACTCTATAAACACAACACACACACACACACACACACACACACACAAACTCAACCATACAACGCACACATTTCAGTGTTCACCTCTGGGAGAGCAGGACTGAGACAGATAGACTCAAAATTAGCTCCAGAGGGCTACACGTCTCTGATGTGTGGTTTGTTTACTTGTGGGTTTTTGTTAGATTTGTTCGTTTTTACCTCCTGTGAGTCTCGGGCTAACCTGCCATGGATCAGTATGTAGCGCCACGCATCGGATCTCTGGAACAATCCACCCACTGCCATCTCTGCGTCGGTGTGTCGACCCTGGGCTGGTCTGGATCGGACCAGGCCTTGATCTGGACATGCATTGAAGCACTTTTGTTTTTTTTAGTTACATGAACAAACACCCTCCCTTCCTCTTGATCATTTTTGTTTCTTTAATATGGTTTAAGTCTTACTTATTTGACTTTGCATTCCCTCGTACGCACATCCCTTCCATGGATGACAAAAAAGGAAATGGGGTCGAAGAAAGGAATCATGTTGAAAGAAAGACGTGTGTGTTGTCCGTCAAAATAGAAAAAAAAAGGTTTTGAATACGACATCAGGCTAATGAATCTAATGCAGAAAAAGGAAAATCCAGCCACATGACTTCTCTACCCCAACATGAACTTTCTGAAGGCTTTGAGAATGTAAACTTTTTAAAAAAAAAAAGATTAAAAAAACAATAAAACTTGAAAAAATAATAATAATCAAACAACATTTTTTTACTGGTCAAAGGAAGTTACGAGATAACTTCCGTGTCTTGAGATCATAACGAGAGCCTTTTGGCATAAACAGCGTCGCTCATGTTTTTCTATCATGTGAATGACACAGTATTTACAGAGTGATATTCCCCGTGCAGTTTTTAATATGTCTGATTTGTTTGCTTCGTCACGGGATACGCTTTGAGAAATCCACAGCTGCCTATTTTAGTGCGCCCTCCAAGAGCTTCCATCATGCAGGCGGTGCATCGATTGGCCTCTGACAGATAGTCACAGTCTGTGTGTGTTTTTACATTTGAATGCTTCTGGCAAAACTTTCACTCTGAAGGTCAGAAAACACATTTACAATCAGTCTCCTCAACTGGATTGACACTCTTCAGCACAGTGTTTTCTAAGATATCCGATGTTTGTATTGGGGAGCGTGTCAGACAAGCAGAAGTCTCAGCTTCACCAATAGAGAAGTAAGAGAAGTGTTTCATAGCTTTTATTTCCAAGATAGATGCAATGTGTCCTCTCATTTGAGTGTTTTCTCACATTTACCCATATGTTGTTTAAATAAGCCAAACTGTTACAGCTTTTCTTTTATAAAAACAAAGCACACATACAGAAAATGCAACGTTTCAGCATGCAAGAAGTTTTGATGTTTTCTCCACATTCATCGACAAACAAAACCTTCAATTTGAATTTAAAATGCTCCATCCTAACATGCTACCTGTGACAGACAAACAGTAGGCCTCAGATGTGAGCTGACTGGAGCTCCCCCTGCTGGTGTGGAGCTGGATGTGCACTTTCATAAAGGCAGCAGTGGATTTCTCAGGGCGATAAAGTGTTTTGTGCTTACAGTCATTGTAAGTGCTTTTTGTGTACGTGGGAGCACAGCGATGCCGGGCTCATGTTGAGTCTCACAGCCATTCCAGCAGCACACATACACACACGCACACACACACATTTTTAAAAACTGTCTTTGATACCAGTATACTGTCTGTGTGAACAACAACAAAGGTCCAACAAACGTACCCGACAATTACTGCTCAGCAGCAGCAATAAGTGAAATCTGCGCTTTGGTTTTTTGCGACATTGCAAACTGTACTTGTGTATTAGCCCCTTTGCGACATGAGATCTGGAGTCTAATATGATTTAAATAACTGATTTGAGCCGAGGGAATTGTTGTGTGTCAAGTTGGATTAAGACCTAGTAAAGAGAAGCTTCTCTGAAACTTCATTACCCATGAGGCTCAGTGCAATTAGACAGATAAAAAAGTGCAATTACCCTTTTGTTGTTATTCTATTCTGTAGTTATGTAACAGTGTTTAGTGTCCAGGATGTCATCTGGGGGAGATGATTATTTCTTCACTCTTGTGTTGTATTTATTTTTCAATGAGAAAAGTACAATTTGTTCATAAAAAAAAACAAAACCCTTTCAACAGTAATTTTATGCAACTTACACTTTATTTGATTCCCAGGCATTAATACAAGAAATCACTTTCACATTTTGTTCTGCACTTTATCATTCAGATATTGGAGTAATTAATTAGCTCGTATTCTCATTTGAATGTGAATATCTGCTTTTCTTTTTCCCTTCTTTTTAATGTCTTGATGAGTTTAGTATTAAATAAACAGAATATAGACATTAAGCTTCAGCATTTCATTTGACAAATAATATTTTATACATAAAAACAACGTGGCATATTTAGTTTCCTTGACATAGAAGATTTGTTTGTATTTTCTTCTCATAGGAGCTGGCTCCTTTCATGAAGTCTGAGAAAGACGTTTTTATGTCCCGATGACGACTGAAACCACGTTAGCAGGCGTGCGCCTCTCTGAGAGCAGTTTTTTCTTTCTTCTCTCATTTCTAAGGGTCTCCATCAGCATGAATTGATTTCTCCAGTGTAAAATTCAGTCAGCCTGACTGTCCCATCGCTTTGGATTGAAGTCTAGACTTTTCTGCATCTCTACCTTGTTGCTTAATCGTGTCTGGGAAGAGTGTAACTTGCATAAAGCTACATTTGTTTACTACTGACTGGACTTGAACATATATGACTGTTTCCCTGTCTTATGATATCATTCCACAAGTTTGTCTGTGAGTTTTCTTTGGAATAGTAACTGTAAAGAATTTGGTATAAAGTACTTATGTTTTTAAAAAGAAATATTGATGTGTTTTCAGTTTAATTTCCCATTTGAACAAAGTATGTAGAATTAAAAGAACAACCAAATAAAAATTAAGTTACTTTTAATGCTTCGTTTTTGTTTTTCTCATGAATGCTCAGTTAGACGAGTTCTTGATCTAAATTGTGTAGTGAGAGGTTTTACTAATGAAGTAGATTTGAGGCATGAGTATTATCAGATGAAGGGCGTTGTCATTTTAAATCGGGGGTTGCTGATGTTTTTGTGCAAATAGAAACACACAGACAGCAAGTACCAATGAAAACATTTTAATTTTCACATCCATTTGACTCAAATTTTAACCAAGGTTTCCAAAAGACAAAAAGAAATGAATAAGTGAAAACAGTTTGCAATTAAGCAACATTCAAATATATGGACGTATCAAGTTCAATTTAAAAAGCAAATCTGAAGAGCTCGTTAACATCTGCTGTCTCTTACAAAGTACAGAGAAGAAAACATGGCGACCCCAACACCCCAGAAAGTGGTTTCTATATCTCACACTGCAACACTGTTCGGGATTTTATCAGGAGACATGTTGTAGTAAGGCAGCCTCTTCCCCTCGTTCCTCTTCTTGATGTCGTTGGTTATTTCTGCCAGCTCCTTCCTGAATTTCTCCATGGCCGCCTTCACTCGCTTCTCTATGAAGTGCTCATCAAGGTACATGCCCAGGTACAGCTGCAGGCGGAGAGGGGGGAAGGTGATTCAGCCCAGAGGCACACAGCAGGGAAAGAGAAACACAAGTCAAAGTGAAGGGAAGCTTCTTGGGGAGTCAGAAATGTACAGTTTGTACAGACCTTGGTCTCCAATGAGCTGTGTAAGTATACAGAATGATTGCTTGGTTTCTTCTCCATACCTCGTTCTCCTGGTACTGGCTGAGGGCCCAGACGGCCCCGAGGTGCCAGCTGGAGCGACCACGATCAGGGAGGCTCTCAATGATCAAATTCACATTAGCTAAACCCTTCTTGTTGGGCGGGGGTTTTCGCATAGTAGATGGAGCGTTGGGGATCCAGGAACACCAGTCGTACTACAAACAATCACAAACATGCAGCATGCACTTCATTTTTGCAAACAAGAACAGAAGACGTTTGTTTTATGAGCTGATACCTCAAAGTGTTATTTCTCAGATGACTCATGGATGAATGGGGGGGAACTTGGAATAAAATCCTAAAAAGAAGTTAAGAAGAAATCGTATTTTTGATGCTTTCACTTCAGCAGGATTTTGTATAAAGGCTTGTGGAGTGTTCACAAGTTCTAGTTTTTTTTCCAACATTACTCTGTAATGTGAGCACACATAAACCATTTTCCTTTATATGGAAACAATGTTGAATAATGCATCTGCAAGACTTCAGCAACAATTGTAAATCAACTATCTAGTTTTTATGATATTTCCCACTTTTAAAGCGGTCTTAGAAAACAACATCATGGAGCTGTATTCACAAAGCTTCCTCAGAAGAGCTGCTCCTAGTGACACATTCTAACAACATTTGTAGACTCAGAAATAAGAATTTCCACTTAAATTTAAGACTAGGTCCTTAAAAAGATCAAAGTTATTCACAAAGCATCTTAGGTTTAAGGGAACTGCTGAGGTGTAAAACTGTTAGGAGTAGTGAGGAGGACTTTTAACAGGCTGGAGAGTTTCACCAAACACTGAATGAAAAATGTTCTTATTGAATCATAGCTTAAGTAGACATTTCAATCCGGACATGCACGGTGAGTCTCTCTAAATGTGTTTCACTCCACAGGTGACTCTAATCACTGGTTAGAGGCTCTTTGATGTAACTCTCAGCAGGTGAAGAGGCGGCTGCACAAGTGGACATATGTGTTTCAAATGTCATTTCAAAGTACAGCTTACAATTAATTCAACAGAGAAGTTGATGTCATAAGGTTCATATGAACACAATGTCTGAACAGATTCCATGATTAGGCCTAATCAATTTCACTGTCTGTGCTTGCCCATTATCACTAAGAGAGCACTTTTTTCTACATTTATTGGATCAACCAATCACAGCTTCTGAACGATTATAATACAAAGCAATGGTGTCAACCGCACCTCCTCATTAAGATAAAAGTTTCTGCCTCTTCCTCGCTCAGAGTTGCTCTATGAATGTTTCTAAATGACTCCTTGCTAGGATTTTTTTTAAAAGCTAAGTTATGAGCTCTCTGAGAGTTTTCTCAGTTTTTGTGAATACCAGGCTGCTGATGTTCTTTAACTCACCTGTCCGAAGTTGACAGCTGCATGTTGTGCTGAAGCGGTGAACACGACAACGGTCAGATACTCCGCCAGCTCCTCACGTGATTTCAGGGACTTTGGAAACTCTGTGCACAGATTGTAGGCGGTCCGAAATAAGAAAACGAGCTTTAATCTTTGCATAAACCCACATTTTGACAAGCCTTGCTGTGAAATATGTCCTTGCACAATAATGGACAAACGCAGGAAGGGGGATTACAACACAGGAGCTCAGGAAGTGACACCACACTGTGACTCCTGTGGCTTCTTGTCATCAGCCTCAAACCATTCGTCTATGACAGAACAGATATGAATTTGAAATGCTGTCTGTTCACTGTCACACCTGTCTCCTCCAGAAAAATCCTACCCTTCTGAGATGCTGAGGAGGAGTGAGCTGCTTCTCTTCATGGAAAGTCACATTGGTATGTTGTTGCAGAGGCAGAATAATGAAATCGGATGTCTGTAATATGTACTCACCACAGTGGTCAAAGTCCTGCATACCGAAGCTGCACACGTCTTTGATGAAGGCCTGGATTTCTTCATCTTCCTGCATCATCTCATCGCTGGTGTAGTAGATGTGCACCACATCGGACACAAAGCTGTCAGAAAGAAAGCAGGTAGGCTGAAATAATAAACAAGACTATAACTTCTCTTTCTTTCAAATGTTGTTACTCTCTCAATAGCAATGTTCCCTCCCTTATCGTCCTGTGTGTGACTGTTTTTCTTTTCAGCAAGCATGCAAAATTTCAAAATCAGAGTGACGTAATATATATATATTTTTTTTGTGGTATTTGCACGTAATGGCTGTTCCTCACCTCTTTGTGGCTTCCCACACCCTGTAGCCGTCGTCTCTGTAGAAATATGTCGGCAGCTCATCCTTCTTGTCCACGCCGCGGGACTTGATCATATCCGGGAAGCACAGAGACCTGAAGGTCAGAGACTTCATGGCCTTTTGAATCAGCTGGACGTGACCACCTCCACCTGTTGCGTTTGCCTCAAAGAGGATGGAAGAGATGCAACATCATCAGATTTACTTCTGCAGCTCATTGTGTGATTTTGTTCTTTGTTAATATCTGCATGAGGTTGTGTGTGCATTTCTGGCTATATAGACCTATGAATGTCAGATATGTAGGTGAATACTTTTAGGGAATTTACTGCTTTTTACAAGATTTTTTGTTATCTGTTGATTTTTAAGATATTCTTTGAATAGGGTCAGATACATAAAGTTATACATCATCTGCATAGAGAGATAATCTTTGCTTGACTTCACCTGTATGAATTCGACTTATTGATAACAATGACTTGAGAGTGATGGATAGGGCTCTGATGCAAACAGAGATGGACTGATTTTCTTTAATGACCTGTCTCCTCACAAAGGATGTGTGCTCACTGACATGCTGATGTCTGAATGCTGCTGCTCACTCTGTTTCTCCATTTGTTTTGCGCTTATTATATGATGTGGCAGGCTGTAAACCAGACGTTTTTTCTTGAAATAATTTGTCAGAAAAAATAATGGCTATGCTTAGTTTTTCAAATTGCCCGTTATATTTGTTCTCCTCTTCAATAAATTCACAAGCTCACCTTGTCAAAGATGCCACACTTACAGATGAGCTGCTCTCTGGCCTTGGTGTTGATGGCGATGGTGAAACGAATGTGTGGGATAAGAAGCTGAGGGAAGGAAAGTCCATCAGTCCAATCTTCAATCATAGATTGAACAATCTTTTATTTTGCATGTCAGAGTTGTACCTTATACACCGGGTGAACTGCAGGGAGCTGCCTGTACATGGCGATAGCAAACACCTCCGTTATCAGATGAGTCCTGAGCAGGTGGGTGACTGTCTGGTGGTACTGGAAGTCAGCTGAACGGACCCAGACCTTAGCCAGCAGCCAATCGTACTCACCGTCAGTGGGCAGGAAGATCGGCGTATCCTCACCTGGAGTCTGACCCAGCTGGAGAAGTCAGCAGAGGCAGGAAAAGGAAATCAAATTGATTCATACTGTAGAAAAAAAAGTATGATTTCCTTAAAAATAAAACAGCAGCTTAATATCATAGCACCTGTATGGCTATGGGCAGGATCTTGTTCTTAGCGTTCTTGTATAGCAGACAGATGGGAGCTGCCAGGTACTGCAGTGTGCAGGGGTCTGTGGTGTTTGCACTGATGCCGTCTAACAGCTCATAGTCCACTATGTAGACGTTACCTGCCTGGGGCCAGAACATTGATTTACATTAAACATTATTGGGGGAATTAAAACAAGCAGTGATTTAAGGACTATTTCTTGGCTGACTGTAAAAGTATGTATCTTACAGTTTAAAATATATCCAAAGAAACTGTCATGTATACCTGTATTTCCTCCTCCAGAGTCATCTCTCTCTCCAGACTGACAGAAACCATCTTGTGAGTGACAGGAAACTTGTTGGGAAGTTTTGTGCACTTTTGGATCAATACGGGGTTGCAACCATTCAGGAACTGGTACCCGAACATGAAGTCCTCCTTCCAGTGTTGCATCACATACTCTGGATTTGATCAAATACATTAAAGATTCATCCTCATTGCACGCATACTTTTTCACTCAAATCTCTAAACACACTTTACTTTTAAACACAAACATATATTTCTCACACTATATTTCTCTGACTCTAACTAACACTCGTAAACACATATTTTGTTTCACTTTGCAAACTGAATTCAAACTCCTGCATGAATATTTTAACAGTGAAAACACATCCTCTTATTGATCGATCAAATAGGAACTAACCTGAGATCGTGTTTTTGATTCTGACAAAGATTTTCTCGAAGTCTCCTATGTCGCTCCAGGAGGACTGGAACATGTGCATGAAACTGTTCACAAACAGGTTCTCTATTCTGCAAACCACATGAACATCGTCAGCATCCTTCTCATCATTCTCTACCACATCATCAGAATCATTTCAGTCACGCTATTCACATAAGAAAAGTGAAATCTGATGTATTTTTCTGTACTTGAAAACACTGCAATACACAAGAAGAAAAGAGTGGTGTCGCTTTAAGTAATGTTGTCCAGATAATGAAGTTATACGTGTTTGTTTTTGCAGCAAATGCACTTCGAAAAGATTATGTGCACAAAGATGCAACATCTCTGTCACAGCCTTGAAGCTCACTCTGTAAAATGACCCAAATCATTTTCAATCTCAGACATCATCACACATCATTTTCAGATATGTTTCATGTTAAAAGCATTAGGCTTTGTTGAGAAGTAATAATACTAACATACAGCAGGAAACAGCTTCCCTTTGAACTGTTTGTTTTGCTGTATCTATCTGCAAGAACATGCCATGCAAATGTTCCCTGGTGATGAACACACAATGAAGCATTCGTTTTTCCAGGTAATCAGGAGAGCAGAAAATAGAATGACGTTATCAGGCTGCAGCCCGACATCAGATCATGGCAGTTTTGCATTGAAAAGCACCTTTTGATAAAGTACGCTGACGCCCAACGACTGTAAACCTGTCACACTGTATTACTGTTGGAGGGAGCACTTACGCCTTACTGTAGTTCAGAATAAAATCCACTCCCTTCTCACTGTCAAACTGGATGTCCAGGGGCAATTCGCTGTGTCTGTTAGCATCTATGCTCAATGGAAAGCCTGGCTGCCACTCCTTCCACCTGTAGAAGAGAGCAGAGATGTTAGAGAGCAGCCTCTTTTAATGTCACATGCAGAATAATCTTACCTGTAGGTTTTCCTCCTCATGTCCAGCTCTTTTAGTCTGTGCTGCTTCAACAAGCTGATCTTATCATCCTGTGGCAGATGTGCTACAACAGACACAAGACAGAGTGAGGGATAGAGCGGAGCTGGAGCACCTTGTGATGATGAAAAAAAAAGAGGAGACAGACAGATATTTAGAGTGAATGATTTCTACCTCTTCCATCCCGCAGCACCACCTCCTTGTCGCCCACCAGCCAGCAGAAGCAGGGGAACTCAATGTATTCTCCAGACGGGGTCTTGACTGTGATGTACCTGCAGTACCAGTCATCCTGCACCCAGTACTTGTTCTTCTCAATCTTCACCAACACAATATCACCCAGGTCCTCACCGACCCTCACGTCATAGGCGTCCACCTGTAAATGTGATTAGTAGAAAAGTTATTAACTATCATGTGAATATTTTCATTTTTGATCAATCTCTTCCACATGTATTTGAAAATATGAAAATCACAGCCAGAATCCAGAGTGAAACAAGACGTTTAAAAACAGACAAAAAATGTTTCAAGAACATGTTATCTTAAAATGATAAATTACATTTTTAACTAGTAAAATTTAAAAGAGATTGTACATTGGCTTATAAATAAATGGACAAAGACTCGGTTGAGTCTAAACGCGTGGACACGTCCCTGTTTGATGAAATGTTTTTATACTTTCAGTTTAGACTGCCTTTCTCCACAATGACCTTTGTGTGCACCCGATTCCTCCACATGTTTGACCCAGTGCAGCATTCACTGCAACCTTTTTCCTTTTTCATGAGAATGTGTACACTCTTTTGATTATTTACAAGTTTTCTTTGTTCACCACTTTTTATGTTAGTAGAAGTGAGCTTGATGGACTTTAATTAACGTTAAATCATGTTATAATAAAACTGTGCTATTAAAAATTGTTTTATATTTTAGTCTGAAGTTTGAAGTTTGCTTTTGATAAAAGGTAGGGAAATATTTAAAAGCAGTTGCAAATGACAGCACCTGTGAGGAGTTTTAGCTGGTTATGAGAATGACTAAAATGTACACTGATGCCTCTTTATTATCTTCAAAAGCAAACAAGACCATGAGCATAACGATCCACAGTGTCTATACGGTGTGATTCTCATGTTTGAAAGCACTGTGGAGGTAGTTGTCGAAAAGCAGGGTGATATGTTTCTTGTTTAAAAAAAACCTTTACTTTTACATGAATAGGACATAATCAGTAGGTACCATTTTGTCCACACGGGGGCGCCAAAATCGACACAAATCGAAAGTTTGTCACAGAAGCTTCAACTTATAATTTACCAACTCTATAAGAATTTTGTTTTTAATTCATTCGACATTCAATTTGTAAGATCAGCCTTTTATTATTTTTGACAGCTTTCTTGTGTATTTTCTTTAATGCTTTCACATTCACACAGATCTATTGTAAAACACTATGAGGTAACAAAGCTGCTGTGTACATAACCTCACCTCCTGGGGGCTCGAGCTTTAGCTGTGCAGCCCCCACCCCCAGACTCACACCTGTCTCTGGAACTCTGTCCCACCAAACATCTGTGACATTAACTCTCTCCCCACCTTCAAATCACAGCTCACACACCTTTTTAGATTAGCTTATTCTGTCTGACTATGCACTTCTTAATATTGCTGTTTTTGTTTGTATCTATTTGATTGTTCTTGTTTTTAATTATTGTTTGACTGCTGTGTCTGTAAGGAGGACCTTGAGTGATGTGAGAGGCGCCCATGAATAATATGCATTATTATTACTATTATTAGTAATTTGCCTAATTTGACTGAAAGAAACTAACAGCAGCTATAAACAAACCTTCAAACGGATAAACTTTAACTTGAAAGAATATCCTACATAAAAAGGCTGTTGATGATTTTTCAATTCATGTTTACAGGAGCCAACAGGTTGTCAGTTAAAGAAGAAGTCAAAAAGGGAACAAGTTTCGTTTGAACTCAATACACTGTAATAAAATCTGTTGTTACTACTTCCTCTTTAACAATCTGGATACACCTGCAGTTTATGTGCAGTTTTTGATGCTGATCATCCATTTAAAAAAAGAAAACTCATCTCACTTCGGCAGTGGACAACTTACCGCCCCCCTCTCAAAGTCATTGTAGAGAGGTTTATCCAGCAGTGTCCGCTCACTGCATCGCTCCGTGCCAATCAGTGTGATGTAGATGTAGTCGTCTGTACCTGCGAACCACTGGCTCCCTGTAGACACAGTCACTGTGTAAACGGGCATGGTGGTCACACAAGACAAAGGGGACTCCAAGAGTGTCCAAAAATCTGCAAAAAAATCCCAGTAAATGAAGTCTCGCCTTCTTGCTCAAAACTATTTCTTCCTCTGATGTATTCTTCTTGCACAAACAGCAAGAACATGTGTAACGGTGCAGAAGAGGGACTTGCAAAACAGTAGAGAAGCTCTCACCTCTGAGTGTTAGGAGGAGTGATCGCCTCCCTTGTGCTGTAAATGAGGTCACAACACAATACGGCTGTCCTACCTTGGCTTGTTATCAAGGGAGATTTTTTTGTCGTTCATTTATGTGGGTGATATCAAATTCATTCTCTTTGTTTGCAAACAACTAGTGGTTTCCGTTTAAAAAGATGGACTACAAGTATGTCCGTCATGGCAAATTAAAACACATGGTTTTAAATAGGGCAGTCTAACTGTATTTTACTCATAATGTGGAAATGAAATACAGCAAGGACCACATACACCTTTCACACATGATATTTAACAGTCAAATCAGGGCATGGCATCAGAAAACAACAGCTAGTGTATTCCAGTTCAGTTAAATAAAATGCAAATGCATCACATCGTCAAACTGTGGTTTTGCAGTTGGATCTTTAACATCATCAGTAACTGGAGGTCTGCACATATGATAGTCACAGTCTGCTTCAGATACACATCCAAGTAATCCACTTCTTCCTTTTCCCTCAGTTAAGAACATGGTGTAGAGTCTGAGAATGAGCTCAAATTCAAAGGAAAAACCACAGACACAAGGGTTGTTACTGTTTGAAGGAGCTGATGTGTAATGTAGTTCAGACAGGGCTTATAAAAAGCAAGGCAAAGGAAATAAAACTGAAAAACACTGTCAATGTTCAGTCATTCTCAAAGCTTTCAGTCACATTGAACATCAGGTGGTGGGGCTACATATCAAACTATTACATAACATCTCCTCATATACATCTCAATCATTTCCTTCTTTTATCTTGTCTTTGCTGCAATGAGCCGCAAGAGCAGAGCTGATGTCGGATTGATAGGACACAAAAAAAACATCTATAACAGTGAAAGATCACATCAGACAAACACAAATCAAAGAGCAGCAGTTATTAAACGCTCGTGCACAGAGCAGTGCTGTTGATGAATGAGAGGCAACAGCTGTAGAAATTCTGATGAAAACTAGATTTTGTGACCACACGTTGACTGCCTTATTATCACTACTGATGGTATGTGCCCGGGCATGTAGGCACTGTTGGATACTTTGTTAGTTAGTTAGTTAATAATTAAATACTCTGTGATAAAGCTCTACACAAAGCCTCTTATTCATCAACAAGATGGAGGATTTTTAGACTTTTGTTCAACAACACCTTCTCAGGAAGGGCATTAAACTCTTCGGTACCAAACTATTAAAGAAAAAAGCTTTCAAAGTGTTCAGTAGACTATTTTCCAATGTGAAGAAGCAGCAGATCACAACCTCTAACAGTCTGAAGGGTTCATTAATATTACTTAATACAAAGAAAAGCAGCAAATGTTTGACAGTTTTGCTTTAAAATAGTTAAAATAATTTGATCTCAGCTGTCTTTGGGTGAGAGGCTGGTATGCCACGAGGGGATATTGAACTTTCTGCATGCAGAAAAACTCAAAGGAAATCATGGATGTCTAGTAAAGTAAGACTTTGAATTCAGAGGAAGGCATAAGGCTGAAGAAAAAAAAGACCAAGCAAAGAAGCTGAAGCAAACGTTGGCAGTGAATTGAAGGCTTTATAGTAAATATTGTTCAGCCTTCCTTACACGTAAACTGCAGACAGACAACTTGCTTTAGTTAAGCAAAATGGAAGAAATGATAATCTTAGAAGTATTTCATTAGAGATTTGTATGAATGATGTGTGCAGCTCTTATAGTAAACTATAAAATGTATATCCAATGCTGCCACCCAGTGGCAACTGGTCGCTAAATCAATAAATAAAAGACGAGAACGCTACAGTGATGATGTGCAAATTTCTCCTCAGTCCCTACAGGCAGCTTCATACCGAGCTACATCCATATTCATTTAAAAAGCTTTCATCTTAAACACTGAAAAAGGAAACTGAACATATCATGAGTCCAGCATCAATCGATAGCATCAAAGCAACAAACTAAACATCTGAGTGCACATTAACTGACATAAACAAAATATCATTCTGCAGTTAAAAAAACATTCAGTAACTGCTCTTATCAAGGTTTGGCAATAAAATTTTCAAGTTGCCATAAACAAAAGTTCTGTGCTCTTCTGTTCAGTCACTACATCTGTCAGCAGGTAAACTTCTGAATTTACTGCATCTCACATCTGCACTGAAATGTAAAGACACACTGAGTCCTGAATAAAGAACTACAAATCATGAGCTTATTGTCAAATTTCAACACGTCATCACCCACTTTTTAAGGAGAAGATATGACAAACAAATAAAAGTATGTTCATACGTAGGGGTGATGCAACTCACCGAGTTCCCTTTTCGTAAAAAAATTATAATAATAAAAAAAGATTAGAAAGAAACTTTTCATTTAAGTGTTCAACAAGTGTCCATCTTAAAATCAGTCATGAAATCAACAGAAAAAAAACATATGTGTTTGATGTGAATCAGGAGGCTTCCATACAATCAGAGGTTTGCTAACTTTGCTAGAGTGCATGTTATGGCTCCAAGCCATCCGACCAACAAAGCAGGTACTACGATGCCACTTCCCCCACTGTATCCATGGTGACACTAATGTCGAAGTCGCTCAAACCCAAGCCACTTGTTGCTGGTATATCTTTTGTTAAGAGCGACGAGTCACAAAAGCGAGAATTAAGCGGGAACGACAAAGAGAGCGTCTCTCTGTCTGAGATCTAGTCTCACTTTTTCAGCTCGCAACGACTCCCCTGGTGCCTTCAGTGAACTCAAGGAAAAGGCAGCTCCAGCATAAAAGAGTATAGGACATTTTGAGGAAATCTTGGATCACTGTATGAAGGAAGCATTAACGGTCGATCTGTTCAATGACTCAGGGCGTTCACAGGCCCCGGCTTCAGACTTGAACGTTTGAAGAGCGGTTAGTTCAGGTGGAGGACCTGCCTCATGAACTCATAGGTGGTGAAGGCGATGGCCTGTGAGGGGACACAGCGGATGTAGTTGAGAGAAAGGCCTCGGTACAACCCCTTCTTGATGCCATACGTATTATACACATATGAGAGAGTGTTCCTCATTGTTCTGTTTGGGTGAAAGAAAAGAAAGAAATTAGTCTATATTTAGAATGATTTAAAAACTGTTAATAAACACTTGTTATGTTTTATATTTTGTTTTGGCTTAAAGTGGACATGTTGTGTCCTGTGATCTATTTTAAACAGACTTTTTCGAAATGTTGTTTCTTTCCACAAAGCAGAATGATATCAAGTTTGTAGAGCTGAATAAAATATGTGCTGAAATGTAATAATAATAAATGACTACCTCAATCTTCTATGTCATAGCTAGCTCCTACTGTACCATGGTAACTGTACAGAACAAGGCAGCTGTTTTTACCCCGCACATATCTCGCCCTACATTACAAATGTATTCTTAACTGTTGAGTAAGCACATACTGCAAATAACCAAACAGGACTCACAAGTGATTTATTTAAATTCAGAAGGTTGAACACAAAATAAAAGGATGAAATAATTCAAGCTGTCCCCAAATCCTCTAATTTTTTAACGAAGCTGCTCATTACCCCCTCTCTTCTCAATTTGTCTCTTTCATGGATTTGCATGATTCACATGGTTCACATTTTCCGGGCGGAAAATCCAGAATTACGGATTAACCTAGAAAATCACTACCAACTACTCAACTAACTCTGTATGCACAGCGGTGAATGACTAAGTAGGCACAGGGTAAGCCTATTTAAAGTCCAAGGTCAAAGTCAACTTTATTGTCCATTTTGCCGTACTATGTAATGGACATACAGAAAAGTCCAAAAATATTTTCTGTCCAACCCATGGAGGAGAGTATATGCATGCAAGATAAAACAATGACACATAAATATAAAAGACAAGTTCTTTGTCTATACAATGAGAGGTGCTTTAAGTGTTCCTGATGAGAGGAGGTCGGTACTTGTGAATAATGAAGCCAGAGTATTACAGTGCACACTTAGAATTATATTATAATTGTCCTTTAAAGGTTCATCAATAGGAGAACAATTTATCTCCAAAACTCCCTCAAATCCTATCACATAAAGACACTAGATGGCTATCCAATGGCAAAACACAAGTCTAAGCTAACAGTAAGCTAAAAGGTGTTACTTACGAGCATTTCTCAAAGTCTGGGAGCACGGTTCCTAATTGCATTCTTCTCCGCGCCACGTCCAAAGGGTACCTAGTAAAAAGAAACACAATGTGTCACGTCAACCATCCATAGATCAGTGTAATTGACACAAATTCTACCACACACGACAGCTCATCAATTATTTGAGCCATTAGCTCTAATCGTGTTGGCTGCACTTACGATATCGTCTGAGCGATGGCACCAGCGATCCCTCCACAGAGCAGGTTAACATGGGCTTTCAGTATCAGGACATCGGGGTTGTCGGAGGAAGGTTGTCCCAGGAGATCAGGGAAGTGTTTCAAGCCGAGGCTCTTCAGCGTGCCGAAGGTGAAGAATGAGAAACCTTGGGGACAAACAAAAAGAGAGAGAGAGTTGTAGGCAGAGGAGTCGAGCTAACTGAACACAAAGAGCACTGGCAGCTTGGGTAAGGGGCTAGTTTGTTCATTACAATATTCACAATGATCCTGGAGCTTTGATATAAAACTATCCAACATAACCTTCATAATACCTGCATAGGGGGCCATTCCAATAAGTGTTGGAGTGAGTCCCCTATAGAAGCCCAAGACGCCCCCCTCCTATACAAAAAAAAAAACAGGTTACACCATTTTGATGAAATGTTTGCAAAGAATGTGTTTGTCGCTTTGAAAGTAAGAAGACGAGCAAACTACCTTAAGGTAGATGGTGTGGAAGGCATTAATTATTCCAGTGTAGCGGTGATACCCTGTCACCTGGAAGGCCAGTCTGGATCGGATCATGTCCAGAGGATAGGTGCATATCACCGCAGTCATCCCTGAAACACACAGCAGAAGAACAAAGGCTGTAGAAAAACACAATTGTAACTATGTTTATTATTGATGTAAGTCCACAGTGTGGACTGAGGCTGTGTTTCATTTGATTAATTTCTCTATTTCTTTTCACTGTGTAAGATTTCACAGTGTGCAAAGACAATTGTGACAACTGTATGAATGACGAAAGTATAAATAAATAAATGTTGGGAGAAATGCATACAATAATGTATAAATAAATAAATAAATGCATCAATAAATCTATAAATGCTGAAAACAATACATCAATGAATAAATAATAAATACACTTTGTTAATGAAAAAGGCTATTTATATATTTTTACATGTATTTATTCATTTATTAGCGTATTTCTACAGTTATATATGTATCAATGCATACATTTCCACATTAATTGAGTTATTAATTTATTTCCGTATTTTTACATTTTACACATCTATTTATTTCTGTGTCCAGGTTGTAAGAGGAAAAGTATGTGTAAAATTGACCAATCCTACTTCAGTAATGTTAGGACGGCCCACTTAATTTACATATTTACTTTTCCTTGTACAACATGGACACAGAAATACATAAATAAATATATAAATATATGTATTTATATATTTTTATATGAATTGTTGCATTTATTTATATATATATATTTATTGTTGCATTTATTTAATTATTTATACATTATTGTATGCATTTCTCCCAACATTTATTTATTTATACTAATTTTTTGTCCCTCATGATTTGCTGATGAAGTCTTATATATATATATATATATATATATATTTTTTTTTTAGGATTGTCACTCCTAAGTTTGAAAGATAACTCACCAGCCATAGATCCTGCCATGAGGCGGTGGATGTGTCCTGAGATCCCAATATGTGTACTGAGCAGCTGTAAAGGGAAAATATTAGCTACAGTTGTATTATAAAAACAATGCACAGGTTAAAGGGATTTAAAGCAAAAGCCTTTAGAGTAACAACAGAAAGGCCGATCACGTTTCTCTAAACATCCTCCATCATCAGTTTAACAAACGCCCTGTTTTAAAGCCCTGCTGTTCATATTGTAAGAACTTGTTTACCTTTTTATAATTGTCAAAGGCCATGAACTGGATGGCTCCATAGGGAAAGATCCTGATCATCATAGCCCCATTACCCTTGTACAAGCCAAGGTAGCCTTCTTTTTGTGGGACTGCTCTGAGAATGGAAAACACTCCTGCAAAAGAACAATCAGAAGTTTCACTCATCTGACACACGTGTTAAAAAACAAACTCTTATTTGCTTTTAGGTGTTTGTATACCAAAGTGTTTGTAATGGGGGTTCTGGGCTTGAAGAAGAATCTTGACTCTGTCCAGAGGAGCGATGGTAGTCTTGGCACAACATGCTGCCACACCTTCAACAGAAGCAGAGAATTAAATAATCAACAAATGTATCCTTAAATATACGACTTAACCCAATTAAAAGTGAGTTTCAAAATAAAACAGAGGAAAACAAACAAGCAATAGCACACACTTGATTAGCTTTTTTTTCTTTGATAAGAATACAATATGGCGGGGCGCTGATGGCGCAGTGGTTAGTGCGCGCGCCCCATGTATGGAGGCTGTCGTCTCAAGCGGGCGGCCCAGGTTCGCTTCCCACCTGTGGCTACTTCCCGGATTTCATTCCCCACTCTCTCTCCCTGATTTCCGACTCTATCCACTGTCCTGTCTATCCATTAAAGGCACAAAAAAAGCCCCAAAAAAATCTTTAAAAAATAAATAAATACAATATGGCTCCATAAGGAAATATCCATATATATATATATATATTGTTTTTCATCCTAAAATTCATTTAAATATTTTATCGTCTGTTGTAAAAACTAATTTTGTTCAATCAGGCTTCACATGTAAGCTTTTCTTTTCTATTTAAATAAAGAGAGAGGATTTGATCCAAAAGAAGGACAACAAACGAGTCAGAAAAGCTTCTTTAAAGCTAGGGCCTGCAGACTAATCTACAGTTAGATAGCTGTTAACCTACTACACCTGTACATTTAAATCACGGTAGGACACCTGTGCAGACAATATCTGTGTTGTCAAAGGAATTAGGAGACAGTGTTCCTCTGGTAAAATCAGGACTTAAAGCAGACAGAAAGGCTTAAACCAGTATCTTTAAATGTCAGAGTCCAGCTTCATCATAGACCTGTTGTTATACACACACACACACACACACACACACACACACACACACACACACACACACACACACACACACACACACACACACACACACACACACACACACACACACACACACACACACACACACACACACACACACACACACACACACACACACACACACACACACTCCGAAACAGCTTCTACCACAGAGCGGTCTTGGTCTTGGTCTTGGACTCAGAGCCCCCCCCCAACTCTCAAAATACCCACTGGAGTCCTGTATAACTAAGTGCAATACATTTATTCTATACCTGTCACCTGCAAATTAATTGTATACTATATGGTATTATTTAATTGTATTTCTTATTTGAATATTAGGTTTTAGTATTTGTATATTTGTATATTTCTGATATTAGGCATCTACAGACTTGCTCCAACAATATTTCGTTGTACTTGTCCAGTGACAATAAACACATCTTGTAAACGTGTGTGTCGATCCACAGACTGTAAATATTAAGATCTTACCTCCAGCTAAAATAGTGCGAAGCCAGTAGTAGTCCCTCTTTGCACGGGTACTGCTGATAGCAGAGACAGCAGCCTCTGATGTCATCCTTCCTGCTCAGGAATCTGACACATCCATGGCTGTAATATAAAAGACAAGAAGAAATAAAACTTTAAAACATCCCTTTTTTCTTTTTTTTAATTCTGAGATACCGCTGCAACACATGACTTAAGAGTCATCACATTTTTACAGTTAGTTGTTACATCCAGAAGACAGATAAAGCTGGCAAACAACGACAATCAGAATGAGTCACTCACAAGATACTGCAAGTAGCAGAGTGAAAGGTCGTTTGGTTGATATCAGCTGAACAAGATCCGTTTCTCCTTCGATGCGTCGTCAGGTTTCCTTCTTTACCTTTTACTTCCGCCGGTCGGGTCTTCTTTTTCTTTTTCTTTTTTTAAACGCCAATTTACCACCTACATCAATTTTGTACAGCAAAAGGAAAGATTCGTCGCTCAAAGTTCAAAACTTGACGTAACCCGTTATTACGAATGAATCCGAGGCACTTCGAGGCTCATGCAACAACATCCGTGTCCTTCGCCCGTCAGGAGGAAAACAGTCGCATGTTTATGACGTTCAATGACGTTGAGTGTGAAGGAGTGTGTCAAGAAACGGACTTTAAAATTCCTCAATAATAATATTTAATTATTGTGTGCGGTTAACTCAATTGTTTCATGTCTCTGGTATTATTATTATTCATCATCATTATTATTATTATTATTATTATTATTATTAATAACATGTACCAACCAACTGATTTTGGAGTCCCATGGTAGTCAGAAACTATTTTGAAATATAGATTGACAGGAGTGTCTCCTGAAAGTCCTATGTTTACAATCATTTTGTTGGAAATAGAATATTTGTTGGTTTAATGTCTTCATGTGTTTAAAACATTTATTTAGAAGAATAAGTTGTACACCTCTGTTTTTAAAACGCCTGAAATTGTTTAAATGTAGGGCATGTTTACCTTAAGTCAAATAACATCAATTATAAATAAGTTCAAGTTATCTTTATTAGTCAAATGCACAACATAACAGGCAAAAATAAAAAATAGTATAGAAGACAAGAGTAAAAAGAGTAACAACGTACAGAGCAATTAAGAACCAAAAGTTTAAATAAAACTAGAATATATGTACATATATATATATAATTATGTATGTACAGACTATATATAACAATAAATAAATAATAACAATACATAAATAAATAAAAGTGTTAGACAAGACATCATAAATATTTTTTTTTTTTTTTATATATATATATATAATTATGCATGTACAAAATATATATATAACAATAAATAAATAATAACAATAAATAAATAAATAAAAGTGTTAGACAAGACATCATAAATATTGTTTTTTTTTTTTTTAAAAAGGACAGACATAGCCCTAATCTGGAGATATAATGTCAGACAGCTAAGAGTAATATAATTGAGAAGTCGGTTGGTTAAATTCATGCTTGCTGTTATATTATTTACTATTTACTATTTACTACGGTTGATTTAGGTGTTATATAGAATAGTACTACCGAGGTATGACGTACCATCATGCTTCCCGCCCTAGATGTGACGTCACTGGATAGCATAGGATGATATTTCACTTCTATGAATATAATCAGAAGCATCGTATCTGTAAGTAGCTGTAACATGCGCTTTAAATTAAGAACACGCACGTATTTTTAAATACGAATAACGCAATGTGTTTTCACGATAACCTTCTGATGAAATAAGTAGCATTAAGGAACAATACAATTCGTACAATTTTAGCTTGTCACTCTTTCCCCTCTAGTGCCGACGACGAGTTTTTTTTGGCCAGCGGAGACCATAGGTTGCGTCTGGTGGAGGGAGAGTGAGCGGGGCTGCCCTGAATGGATTGACATTAGAGGGATTTACATTTTTAACGGGTGTCGTGCTCCGTGAAGAACAACACGGTGCACGTTGTAAAAAAAAAAAACAACCAATTTCGCCTGATGTTTGTCCATGTTGGTGCTTTTATCATGTGCATGTGTCATCATCGTCGTGAGAGGATTGAACTTGCCAGCAGCAGTCTATATTTGTCGAGGAGGGAAACCAATACAAGGTCTCGCTGTCTTGCTGGAGCGGAGTATTATTAGCAGTTCAGACAGTGCAACTGTCTCTCTGGTATGTAAAGCATTTCTGCCGTTAAACGTGTGAATAAAAACCTCACGGACAACCAAACAACATGTAGTTTCAAAGCGCTTAAAGACGACAGCGGTCAAGTGCGAAATTATAATAATAAACAGCGACGTTTCACGCAGTCTTATGGTTTTTACACGGTAATAACCCCTCTTCCGCCAGGCACATAGACGAAAACAGGATCCGACCTCCGGCTGGAGCCCACTTCTCAGCGTGCCTGCCCTTTAAATTGTTAAAGCCGTGGTAGCAACACAGGAAGCTATAGTTTTTTTTTTTGTTTGTTTGTTTTTATGTAGTTCTTCGGATTGATTTGTCAAAGTTTCACATTGTGTCCAGTTGTAGGCTATTAATTGATCTTTATTGTGTATTTATTGACGTCAACCTTTAAAACACTTGCTCGTCCTTGTAGATATTTCAGGCGGGGGCAAAATGAGATTTCCTGCAGACAAAGTTAACAAATTGTGGGATAGATTGATTGTAACAGCGTTATACTTTCACGTTATATTGTCAACTGGTGGATGTTTAGGCTCATTATTACACTGAAATTACATTTAAAGCTGACACAATATTTTGTACTCTGTCTTTATAGGTCATGCACTGGAATTGCAGGATGACTTCATAATCCCCGTCCCCCCCCCTCAAAAAAAAAAAAAAAAAAAAAAAAAGGAAGCAAGATTTTATAGGTTTTAAAAAGATAAAGTTGTATGCTGAGCAAAAAGTAAACATTCACCTTGCGCCCATGCCGGCTGCCAGAAACCATCCCCTCCACACCCTCAGCCATGCCTACTTCTACTAAACCCTCCAGGAGACAGACAGCTGCTCAGAGAAAAAATGTCCAAAAAGTGGTCAGCACCAAGAGGCAAACCTGTAACTCAAACAAACCTAGGGGAAGAGCCGCAGAGAAGCCGCAGAAAACACCTCCAGAGCCCAAAAGGTTGCCAGCGAGGGCCAAGACACAGTCAAGCCGTAGCCCCCGTGGAAGAGGGGTTCGTGAGCCTGCTAGTCAGAGCCCTGGGAGGTCACCTGGCAGAGTTAACCATGCCTTAAGTGTAACAGGATCTGCAAGGCTTAGACGACTGAGCAATCCGCCTGAACCCACTGGCCAGCTACAAGACCCCCCAGGGCGAAGGAAGTCTCTGCGGGGCACACAGGTGTCTGTTACTCCCTGCCAGCCTCCTAAACCATGCAGAGGGAGAAACAGGAGAGTGGGCACAGGGAGAGGCGCAGCATCCCAGCATGGACATACAAGAAACCAGTCATCGAGCGTCAGCATCAATGATTCAACATCTGATGGGGAACATGAGAAATTGGACATCTGTGATGCAGAAGAAATGGTTCCAGTTGCTCTAAAAACGGATTTTGTTGTTCCTGCTGGTGTCAGAGATAAGGGTCTTTGTGTGAGTAACGCTAAAGAGGGCAGCCCTCTTAAAGCAGATTCACCACCACGTGAAATCACACTGGAAGACTGTGTGCAGGGCAGCAGTGACAGCACTACAGCCCAACAAGACAAACTGACTGTCCTTCATAACAGTGAAAGTGACCCGAGGTGTGTGACAGGGGCACCTGTGTGCGATGATGTTGATGGACTCTGCAGCGTGACATGGAAAGATGCAGTGGTGCAGGGCGGCAGCAAGGGAAACGACAGTTCATCCATCCTTGGAAATAAGCTCGCTCATCTTGCCAGTGATGATCAAGGTTATCGTACAGATGATGCGTGTGCTGTCCAACAAGAGGAAGCTAACGTGTTGGACTCGGAAGAGAAAAGTCGAGATACAAAAACGACAGCTGTCACCGAAGATTCTGAGGAGATAAATCACGAGAGAGGAGAGAGTTTCAAGGAAGAGAGACAAAACGAGACCGTCGAAGAGATGGAGGAGATAGTTGAGGGTCTGAGTGATCGTGAGAAAGAAGAGGGAGGACAACATGATGAGGAGAATTATGTCTCCATCATTCCCGCCGACTCCGACCCCAGCACTCCAGCCCCTCAACCTTCACACCCATCCCCCCCTAACAATGGCCTGACAGCACAGTCAGAATCACCTGTAAAAATCCTACAGGTCTCCAACATAGCTACCTCAATTTCCACCAAAGCTGCCACCACATCAGAGTCGATTGACATAGAGGTTCTGAGTCAGGGTAAGACGGACACGCAACCTACATTTAATGGCGCTAAATCTCAATTGCCAGGGTGCTCAGCTTGGTCTGAAACTGCACCGAAGTTTCAGACTGTTCTAGTGCAACGAAAAACGCCAGTTATTATCCGTAATGACTCCCTTAAACCTATGAGCTTTAGGGATTCCCACCAACAACCAAGTCTAGACATCCCATCCTCGCAGGGAGATAGAAAAGCTTGTACACCAGCAGAGACACACACCAAAGATAGTGACTCTTATCCAGAGCAACGGGAGTGCAAGAGCAAGCAAGAGACACCTTCGCTGTCCCTGTCGGTTGTTCCTCAGTTGAACTCGGATGCTCTAACAGCTGCTTGCGAGCCAAGCAACAGCGAGGAAGGTGTTGTCTCAGTGCCAAAGATCTCAACGCCCTCACTGGACAGTAGCTCCACCAGCTTCTCTTTCAGCTCGGAAAGCACTCGTTCCTCTTTTTCTTTTGACACTGAATCAGAGGCAGGGTACGGGGAGACAATACCCTGTATCCTACCTGGATCCTGGGGGCCTGAGGGGAACCAAATGCCCTCCTGGGCCGCCCGGAAAACACAGAAGAAGGAGAGGAGGAAGCGGAGCAGGTGTGGGACGTGCGAGCCGTGCCTGCGGAAGATCAGCTGTGGGCAGTGCAGCTGCTGCCTGAACCGCAGGACAGGACATCAGATCTGTAAGCTGAGGAAGTGTGTGGAACTGAGGAGGAGGAGACCTTCATCCTCACTCACATTCTCTGCTGCTCAGGTGAGGCTTTAATTACTTAGAATGCAAGGTTTTTAGATAAGGACTTGAGTGGGACTACTCTGATGCGCCTATGCGCAGCTTAAACAGCTGATTAGAAGCAGCTAAAAAAGGTTGTTCACTACTGTATGGCAGCATATTGCTTTTGATCTCAGAGATTTCCCAGACGCCCACTGCTAGCAGTGACGACTGAGAGTTGTCTGAGCCAAAAGAGAAGCATTCACTTTCACATTGAGATTCTCTTTTTTTCAGTTGGTACTACAGATGTTGCGGGGCTTTACTCCACGGTGTCCTCTTGTTAAATGAAAGTGCATGCATCAAGTCAAAAAATGGGAACTAACTGTGTTTGCATTGTGTGTGTATGTCCAGGGTGTACAAGTGTAGAGAAAAGAATTTAGGTGTGAATACAAGAGCAACTGAAATGTTGATCATGTCCCGTGTCAGAGGGGAGGAACCTGTCACATGACCAGCAGCAGCACATGGTTGGAGGTTGTGTCTGTTTTTGTAGCTTTTTTTGGTTTATTCAGCTCCAAGCTAAGAAGCCAAAATGTGTGCCTCATGCGTTTCAGCTTGTGTTGGAGTAATTCCAAGAAGTTGTGTCCAAATCTGATTAAAGTAGGTATAAATTGTTATTAGAATAACTATTTTTCAGAAATGGTGTTAGGCTAAATTGTCAAAATCTTCATTGATTAAAGTGGTTTATCCATAAAATGTATTGACAGAAGGCTAATAGATCAATCATTGATCATTTTGGTAGAGGGGAATAGGAGCTCATGGCAGCAGCTGGAGCTACATAAGCATGAATATAGTTCAGTGCTGTCCATGTGGCTGGGGGAGGGCTCTGTGTGAACAACTGAGTGAGGGTCCATGTGGCTGTATGGTCGAGTGTGTGCAAGCGTGCATGCATGTGCCGGCAGTGGAGCCCCCTTAGAGCTGCAGCAGTGGCAGGAGCAGATTAGGGCTGATTATATAACACCTGCAGTAATAGTATTGACGACCTTTGAGCACTATTTCTGCGTAAGAGCAGAGGAGAGGGAGAAAAGATCAGGCCGGGAAGAGATTTACATACATATTATTTGGAATGCTTTGAAAAGTAGGTCAGTGTGTATGAGTGCATCTGTGTGTGTGTGTGTGTGTGTGTGTTTGTGTGTGTGCATGCGTGCCTGTGTGTGATGCAGACTCATGAGCAGATTATTGCATATAAGTGTAGTCCCTCTCATTCAAGCTGCAGAGCCAGTTGTTTCCACTTTAATCTTGGCTGACATCACATTGTCCAAAATCCAGTGCAAACAGCGTTGCGTTTGTTTGTAGTTTGAGAACAGGTTTTGGATGATTCTGTGCAACTGCAGGGGTGGAGCCTACACCTGGTGCTGCAAGGTTGCACAGGTCATCACAGCTATCATCATGTTGACTTGTAGGGGACATCTCCAAGTCCTTAACTTAATTCTCAATGCGTTATGGTGGATCAAGCTTTCCTCTTGGCTTGTATTTAAATTTCCAACTCAAGAAACCCCACTGTGAGGGCATATGAGTTTACTTTATGAGTAATACTTTGACAAACTGGCTTGCCTGTCTTGCTTATCAAGCTCACACACCCTCCCAACTAATGCTTCAAACCGCACAAGATAGCGGAGAAAAAAGAGGCAGAGGCCACAGAGGAGCTCATGTGGATTCTGTTCCTGGTTTTGCCACAGTGAGCTTCTAATGCTGGTGGGGCTGTGGTTTGGTTTTCGCCATCGGAATATAACATACCAGTAAACACACAAAGCACAGATAAAACAGTGTAAAGGTGATCTATATATAGAGACAAAATCAAAACACACAAAAAGCTGTTTCAATGCGACAACCTGAGAGCCCCAATGCTTTGTGTATGAGCATCGTGCATTCTTATTATTAAGCTTGCCTTAAATTGTCTGGTTTCACTCAACCTTGATGGCCCCCTCGTGGCCTCGCCTTGCAGTGGGCAGTGAGGATAAGACCTGGGAACTGGCCCTTAGCACTCACACGAATACAAGCACAAACATGCAATCGCAAACACACCAGAACCTAAACACTACAAAAGCTCCTGTATTTGGAGAGTGAATTTGACTGAAACGGTCCTGACATGTTTAGAGCTGTAGGCTACATAACTGACTCACTTTTTATGGACTAACAATGGACATGTCAGCACTCAGATAATGTTTTTAATTCACATCTCAGCACAAAAAGTAAAATCAACATTTCATTATAACCATCATCTGCCTTTGAACGACCAAGTGACCTATGACTGATGCCCCTCACTCCGTCAGTGCTGGCATTTTATTTGACTTACACAAGCTCTTAAATATCTCATGAAACACATAAATAAAGGATGCAAGATGTTGTTGTTTTCTTGCAGGTCAGATGAGTTCCATTGTCATCAGCTAAAAGTACTTTACATTTCAGTTTGTGCCATTCACTATGTTTCTACTGGATCATTTTTCAACATAACTATAATACTAGAATTGTTCCATTACTGAAACCAGTATACAATGCCCATGAATCTGCCTTAAAGGTGGTATCGTATACTGACAGATTTCACATTCAATGCACAGATCCAATGCAATAATTTACTAGCCCTGATTAAGAATTAACTTGTTTGTTCATCCCCATAACAATAGCTAACCCAGCAAAAATAAACATTTGGGCTGGCAAATACTCTTTAGATCAGCACAGAAGAATTGATTTCAGGTCAATTTCTAAGCAGACAACACGTCACACCG